CACGAAAAAAAAAAATGTATTACTCTTACTATCTAATGTATATACTCAGTACGTTTGTTTGCGAGAGTACCTGCGCAACATTCGGTTTGAAGCTAACTTCATTGGCGCAGACTTTAATGGCGTGTATTGTAAATACTTAAAGATGTCTGTTCGATTATTCTTACAGTTTAACGATTATTCGTACCTATACAAGTGAATTTGAAGAGTCACAACGCTACGGCAAAGGACCTAACTACGTGGCTTTGAAACGAAGTCTATAAACAATTTGTTTATTGTATTTGTTGCTTTTTTTTCCGTCCGTGTGGTGACGGTTTAAGAATACAGAGTGTCACCACCCCTATTCATCCCGCAGGTGTCGTAAGAGCCGACTAAGGGCGAAAACTACGCAGAACAACAGCACTGCAGAGAGAAGGAAAACTTGACACAAACCCTATACCTACCAACCCGTCTGGCCAGCGTGGTATAGTAGGCCAAAACCTCTTTTCTAAGATTGATTGATTGATTGATTGATTGATTGATTGATTGATGATGATGTTTTTTTTTTTTGCTTTGTTTAAAAGATTTAGGTAATTTAATTAATAGGAATAGAACACCATGTGATAAAATAGAAATAGCTTCATTATTTCATGGTTATACGGTTTTTTTTTTTTTTAATTATGTGTTACGCTGGTACATAGTTGTATCGGCTTGAAAAGTACGAAACTTCAAACGGTACCTCTTAGATTAGATGGACCTATGATTTTATTTACTTTTATAGAAAAAGTCATTAAAACGTAGAAATTATTCATTAATCAAAAGTAACAAGTGAAATCACTATCCGACTAGGTAACTTAGACTCATTCGCCGTTGTATGTTCGATTCAAAGTTTATTGAAAAAAAACGAACTTACTCTGCAATTGGTGATTGTCGACATATACCGGTGCATCTTAACAGTCGCCAATGTTAAATGTTAATAATTCTATGTATTTTACAGATAAAACAAGAACTCTTTTTAATTCTTCACCTACCAAACTTATTTTAATAACACACTATATTTCAAACAATTAAAATTGAATTGTCTCATCTTTTATCTGTTGAACTTATCTTTTTAATGAATATATTATCGTGGGTAAGGTAACAAAACAGTGGCCGTGAGTTTGTTTGCCCTTTCTTCTCATGAGGCTCAAACCTTGGAAATGGGCGGTTGTAGATCGGCATAGGCATATAAGAGATTTTCGATACGTATATATTTATTTTGCTAAATATTTGACAAAACAGAGATTGTTGCTATTGTGTGTGTTGATCTATGACTAGAGTCTAGACAAGAGACGATTTTCTATAATTTAATATTTTTTAAATGAAATAAAGATACTTTGAGTTTAAAAACTAAAATATCAATAATGCAGCGTCATTACAAATACGCAGAGGATTTTATTGCAAGAGTGGACGATCTTATAGCTGAGATGGTTGTAGTAAAATTACGTGCAAGATTTACAATTACTTATAATGGGCCTAAATTACAGAGTAAATTATTTAGTTTGCCTCCTTATGTATACATATATGTACATACATATATTTAATGTATTTTTGAATAAGTAGTTAAACAGTTTAAATAAATCAATAACTCATTTATACAGTGAATAATGATTACCTGGAGATTAATCTGAAGATTTAAAGCATTTTAGAACTATTCTGAATATTGTATGTCTGGCCAGCTTGAAATAGTAGGCCAAAACATCTTTACTAAGGAGAGGCCTATGTCCAGCAATGGACTACTAAAGGCTGTTGAAAATGATTATGAATATATATTTTTTACAACTCCCGCATTACGATTATATCCTGTGTCACGGGGGACTTTACAGAAAACGTATGCCTCTCTGAAACGTACACATAGAACATCCAGATCTAGAACAACATTTGTGGATCCCACAAAGTGTTGTCCCATGTGGGGATTAAATCCACAACATTTAGCGCAGTAGAAATCGGGCCGTACCTATGCACCTCGGTAGCCTTGGTAGTAGATATTAGCCACACCTGTAGACCTGTAGACCGTGGCGTGTCATCAATAATAATTATCATTGTGTCGATAAGTTTATTTACTTAATAATTTTAGTGACTTATGTACAGGAGTAGGTAGGTAGTGTTATATAATAGCCGTATCCATAAAAGTTACAAACAAATGAATTATTATGACATCAAAATATATTTATGGTACACTTTTACTATAGTTTATAATTTCTACACTACAGCGCGTTAAAGTTTGAACCACATATTTTTTTAACAACAGTCTAATTATTGAAAAGAAAAAAACCCGACTGAATGAAAATGTGTGCTTAAAGTTTAAAACCGCTGATTTTAATTTTTGTATACCCTATGTCAGACTAACAATTAAGACCAATCTAACGACACCTTAAACGCCAAAATCATCAAGCCGTTTAGACTATAGAGCGTGCCAAAGAAATATACCTACGTGCGCTCAAATAATAAATCCTTTTAAAAAAAGTTGAACCGACTTCAAACAATATTAACAGAGACCACTAAAAACCTTGCAGCAATCTCGGTTGATTTGCTGTTATTTTTAAAAGAGCTCCTTTGTCTGTTCGAAACTCATCATCAGATCTACATGAAATTTAAATGGGAATAAACCCCTTTTGAACGAAAAAATAATATATGACAGAGTTATCCGAACATACATAAAAAACATAAACATCCGAATTGATAAGCTCCTCCTTTTTGAAGTCTTGTAAAAATTTAAATAATCCTTCTTCTAACGCAGTCGGGTAAAAACAGAGTCCACCTGGTCTACCTTCAGATGAGCAGTAAAAACAGAAGTACTTAAAGTAATTCATACTAATATTGCTAATATGAATGTCTGGGTTTCCTATTTTGCGTAAACTTAGTTGTATACCAACTTCAGAAAACTTTAGCACTTAGCCTATTCTTGGATTGCAAATAATTATAGCGTAGAACAATACAAGTAGTCCTTACTTGTATTGTTCTACGCTATAACTACTTTACTGAGAAATACGTTGGTTTAGTTTCCACCATTCCTCTAACTAATCCAAATTAATTAAATACTAGGTAAAGGCCAGTGGTCCATCAGTTTGTTAGTCATCGTTTTTATTGTAGACAATTCATTGAATATGTGGTAATGGTTAATGTGGTCATTGTTATCAAGAACAGTATTGTTCGTGTGTCACAATGTGGCACGGTTACCTGATGTTGACCGCACGTTGCCTGCTCGCCATAACACGTCTAGTTTATTGAGTATAGTGACCTGTAGAATTAAACTATGTAATGCTATAGTTCATCTTTAACAGGACTCAGTAAAAATAATAATAATTAACGTAAAAAAACAGTTTTTAATGAACTGAGGATGGTGTTTTAGTAATTTTATCGTCATTTACAACTGACCTAATGCACCTACTGGTCAACATTGGGCTTCTGTAACGATTTAGGTACGAGAGCCTTATGTGTTATAATTGTCTCTCAATTTGAGAATAATTATTAAATGCGTGGCGTTTACTCCTCACCCCTCGTGGCGCTCGCAATAACTCATGGAAATTAGCTGACGTGAATATATGATGTTTCAGAAGTCGTCAGTGCGCGCGTCGTTGCGTCGGAGTCGCGCGGGCGGTGCTTTGTCGCCCCCGCGCGCCGGCATGGAGCGGCTGCGGCGATCTTTCCGCGAGTCGTTCCGCCGACGCAAGGGCTCACCGCCAGAGTCCGCGCGCCCGCACCAATGGCACGCGGACGAGGCGGCTGTACGGGCCGGCACTTGCACCTTCCCTGTCAAGTACCTCGGCTGTGTCGAGGTGTTCGAGTCGAGAGGCATGCAAGTCTGCGAGGAGGCCCTCAAAGTACTTAGGGTGAGTAAACACCTATTACTCAACCAAACCCACTATACCGGAAGGAAGAGAGAATTACTGTAAAGCATTCTAATAAGTAAAGTACAATACCCTGTAGTCTTTGCCGTCTCTAGCAGGGCACGATCAATATGTAACATTTTAATTTATATGTCATGTTGAAGAAATCCTTATTCAGCAATCTGTGCTGTAAATTATACTCTCGACTGTAAAGAATAGATATTTACGCGATAATTGTTTTAGTTTATCTATGCTATACCTAATCTGCAAAATTTGTTTGAGATCATTAATTGAAATTGATTGTTAAAAAGCCGGCAGGAATTGTATTACATGAAGTCTTCGCGCTCCACTATCCTGCTTCTACATTAAGTGCCTCGTCCTAATCACAACATTGACTCCACCAGTTCAAATTTTTAATACTCGTACTGACGTACAAGACGAGCGAGAGTAGCCGCATTAAGAGGGGCATACCGCCTGAAGTCGCAAGAAGTTTTTATCCTACTCATTATGTTATGTAGTCTTCCTTAATATAATATAAATAATAATAATATTTTCACGCACATCTCATGTAAATAATGATGGAACATCACTTTCAAATTGGACGTAGCTTCTGAAATTGGCATTCGAACCGCAACTATATGAATAACTATATGAATTTATTATAAGTACCTAATATTAAAATATTTCTTTAGATGGCTATTCTCACTTAAAGTTAGTATGGGTACTAAAACCGTTATTGCTAGGAATGTCGGGCAATATAGTTTATTGGATTTAATGACTAAGCGATCGTACCTACTGGTGTTTTGTGCATATAACTGTTTGGTATTACGTAAATTATGTTCTAACATTAGATGGTAGCTACTTATAGACTGATGAATACACACTTATATTTATAAGTGGTCCATTTGAATAGTTAAAATCATACTGAACATTATCGCTTATATATTAACAAATTTACAATACGTATATCACTTTAATTTAAAAAAGAAATTGACATAAGCCATCACACACATTTTTGAGGGCACTAACAACGAACAGGTTTAACGTGACGGGGATATCATTCTAGCAGTAATGAATTTTCCGTGTGGCGAACACACGTGTGGGTCATTTCAGAAGCTGTATCACTAATCGACACAAAGTACACCCAGATTCTGAACAGTTATCTTTGAATTACATAAATAATTAATGTACTAAGTCCAAATCTCAATGCTGCATGGTGATAGTTTAAGAAGCGAACACTTTTAACTACAGCTAATTTTGTGTTTATTCTCGTGTGGTGATGGATACAGAATACGGAGTGTCACCACCCCTATTCATCCCGTGGGTGTCGTAAGAACCGACTAAGGGAGCAAACTACGTAACACAACAGCACTGCAAAGAGAAAGAAAACTTGATACAAACCCTATAGAAAATAGAAGATAATAGAGTGGTATAGTAGGTCAAAACCTCCTTCGTAAGGAGAGGCCTGTGTCCCTTATTAGACTATTAGAGGCTGTTGATGATGATGTTTATTTACCTGAACATTTTGTAAATTGCAGAACTCCCGGCGTCGGCCGGTCCGCGCCGTGCTACATGTCAGCGGCGACGGTCTGCGCGTCGTCGAGGAGGAGACTAAAGGGCTCATCGTAGATCAGACTATCGAAAAGGTGTCATTTTGTGCACCCGACCGAAATCACGAACGAGGTTTTAGGTGAGTTTTATCAACAGATTTAAAATTTAGTCATAGGTTAACATTACAGTAAATAAAATTTGCTGACCAAAAAAATAATAGGTTGGAATCGGGTATATGATTTATCGGTTTCGGCATTTGCCAAAAAGAATAGAAAATCTCAAAAAATATATAGGCATTTGTATTTAAAAAAATACGTTCTAACATTTTGCAAATAAAGTTTAGTTGGTATAATCAACACTCGGAGTGTTAGTCTCTACATTGATTGTTTCCAGTATCAATAGCCAAATTTGTTTGATATTAGCAGATGTAAGAAAATAAGTCTTTGATTTTATAAAATATAAACCTATGTGTGATTATAATTTCAAACGTGAGATACTTGATGATAATATAATCCAAGGCAAAATCAAAAAACATACGAATACATCAAACACAAATAAAAGTAATTCTTTTCTAAACAGGTAGGTATACTAATCAAAGTGTCAATAATAATTTAAATGTTAATCAAAAATATTTATGTGAAAAGAAAGCTACTTTGAATTATACGATGGATTGATTTAAATGGTTAGTATAAACAGCAAAAAAGATAATAATTGGGATAAGCAGTTATTATGTACCTAAAATTTATTTTATTTTTTACTTTAATCGGTCACGATTACGATTAAAAACCTCATTGCTTTATTATAAGTGGTAACTTTGTATTTTATTAATTAAACTAACGATAATAAAGGCCTGCTACTAAAAAGTTACATACGATAAACGATACACAATAGTACCAACATATTAAAATTTTTGTTGCATTTGCAATCGACGCATTGTTTTATGTTGTTACGCGAATGCATCGCTTACTTTATTACGTTGAAAACTTATGAATTTATCATTATTGCTGAACAGATCAACTATGGAGATGGAAGACTTTATTTAGTTTTATGTGAAGTTAGTCTTGGTTCCATTAGTGTCTAATTGAAGTAATCGATTGTCGTTTTGTTCAGTTACATCTGCCGCGACGGCACGACCCGCCGCTGGATGTGCCACGGGTTCCTGGCGTCCCGCGACAGCGGCGAGCGGCTGTCGCACGCGGTGGGTTGCGCCTTCGCCGCCTGCCTTGAGCGCAAACAGCGCCGCGACAAGGAATGCGCCGTCTCCATGAGCATCGACGCGGCCAGCCACGCTTTCACCCGCCAGGGATCTTTTCGAAAATCAGGTCAATGAGCTATTGCTAGCTAGTAGGTTCTAAATTAGTGTGGAGCTGACCTCACTTGTTTAGAACTTACTTATGTCCAAATTCTTCTTGCCTCTTTCGAAGCCCAAATTTAAGACATAATACCATGTATTGTATGTACTAACAAAAACATAAAATCGTGCTTAACGGTTCTCGTTTCTAAATAAACCATTATACTTAGTTATACAACGAAATGAGAATCAGAAATAAATAACAAATGATTATATTTATTAGGAGTCTTCTCATCGAGTCCGAGTAGCTAACATCGTTTGTCGTACACTTTGCAGGTATAACAGCGCGACGTGTATCGGAAGCGGACGCGGGCAGCAACAACAACGGGTGCACGGCGGTATCGCCCGCGGGGGTGGCGGGGGTGGCGGCAGTGGCGGCCGTGACGGCCGTGGCGCCCGCGGTCGTGGCGCCCGCCAGCGCCGTGACGCCGCGCCCCGCGCCGCACAACCCCTTCGCCGTAGAGCGGCCCCACGCCGCTCCGCATCTATTAGAGAGGCAAGGATCTTTCCGCGGATTTGCGCATCTAAACAATAGGTAAGATAAATATAAATGAAAATGAATAAATAGAAAAAAAAACATCATTAGAAATGGCTTACTACCCTTTTTACGGTTTAAAAGTTGAATTATAGAATATTAATTTCTTATCTCTATAGTTGGCTCCGATGAGATCGATTGTTGTATAACTATGAAATAATAAGTTGCCACCGACATTAGTAGATTCCTGCAGTTTTATTCAATACATAAATATGTATATGCAGCGCCTGACCGTTGCAAATAAATCATCTTTCTTTTTATTTTCTTTTGATTTGATTTAAATAATCGATACTTCAGTGTATATATTATATGGATAAAGCTCTTGTAACATTTGATAACGTAACATGACATAGCTTGCTGTTATTTTTTTTAATATAGTGCAAGTTAGTGACGGGTAGACGAACGGGTTATCCTGTACGGGATGCTTTTAAGTTATTATAGAGATCGTATGATTAATAAGAAATAATCTTTGATGACCAAACGTATGCATATTTTTTGCAGTTCACCGTTCAAACGTCAGATGTCGTTGCGCATCAGCGAGTTGCCGTCGAACTTAGAGCGACAGCGCGCCGGGCTAGGCTCGCCCCCGCGAGCACTTCCGCCCGCTCCGGCGGCCGCCCCCGCGGTCGAGCCCCGGCCCGAACTGCCGCCGTCACAGGTTAGCACGCAGCGGGTATCGCACATCGATTACCTTAGAGTGCACGTAAATTTAGATAAAAACACGTCCCGCTCCATATAAATAAATAACGCGGTGTCCGGTAGGAGAGTTCGTCGGCGGACCCGGTGGCGGCCATGTGCCAGCAGCTGTCGGCGGGGCTGCGCGCGCTGGCCGAGGAGCCGCTGGGCGCGACGGCGGAGCCGCTGGGCGTGGCGCCGGGCGCGCTGCCGCACCCCGACGCGTGGCTGGGCCGCGTGGCGCGCGCTCCGGCGCTGGGTGCGGCGGGGCGCGCCGCGTCCTACGCGGGCCGCACGCCCAGCACCAACCCCTTCCTGTCGCCGCCCGGCACCGCCGAGGCGCTCTAGGCCGAGCTCGCGCCCGACCGTCCTCCGCTCATCCGCTTCGACTGAGGACGTCGGCGCGCCCGAGCTGACGCCGTTCGAGTTCCGACATCGGCTGGCCGGCGACGGTGTACGATGTCGCGCCGCCTCATACTTACGCTCGTTTTTGTAGGAACGACCTCAAGGGACCGACTCTCCGTCGGCTCGCCGATATCTAGCGTAACGGCTGACGCGAAATTATTAATGCTCCTACTGGTGGCTACTTACGTGAAAGCTAAAAGTAAACGGGGGTGTTTGTAATATGACACGCGTTTACGAAATCTAAGCAAATCTAATCTTCACAAATATGCGTGGAATAATTCATAATCTTAACATCATTTAACCGCTTGTACTTACTTGTAGTGATTAATGTATAATGTCGTAGCTTCTAGAAAAAGAGAATGAAGAAAAACTATTTTTATCTTTCTTTCGAAATCACTTGTTGAATTGAGATAATTTTTATATAACTCTTTTTAGTAGCTCAAATGTAATCTTTTCAATAAGGAGGCGAGCTTTATGCCGCCGCCTCATACGGACTAGTGTTCCTCGATAGCAAATTCGTTAGTGACGACACAGCATCCGCGAGTCGAATAGTCAAACATACACTTGGAGTAAATCGAATTAATGTTGTTATAATTGTTATACAAAGGACGACTAAAGAGTTAGATAGAACTTGGGAACACAGCTTTGAGCTTGCTGACTAAGCTGGCAAACTGACCAATTACGTATTGGATTCCTACGGTTTTACTTACTTAATATACACTATGTGATAAGAAATTAGAGCTAACACGTATATACGACAAAAATACTTAAATTATGACGTTCTAAGAGCACTTCAAATATACTTTAGGATATAAAATTTAATATTTAATAAAAAAAAAGTTTAAAAGTTATGCATGTTATTATGCACCTACAAGTCGCAATATAAATGCTATTAATGTTAAAATGGGCTTAATGCTCTGTTAAAATCGTCATATAAATGTATTTATATGTAACCACAATTGTAATCATCTTACGTTGGAGAACTTGTTCTCCGTTGACGCATTGTTAATACGTATAAGTGAAATGGAACACTTATACAGGTTGTTGTGAGTTTTGTATTACCAACTGGTGCCAGATAATGAAGGGTTTTGTAAAGAAATGTCTGCATTAATATTTAATATTGCACTTAACTCTGTAGGAAAATTGCACCGTGCTTTTGAGCTATACACCAGCACTGTTGTGTAAATTAAAAGTGTTTTATGATCATACGTAAGTTTAAATAGTTTCATAATATTCGTCCATGCAGTATTAGTCAGGCCGAGCGGATTTTTACTGAACTGTGTACAAGAAAAAAACGAACAATGCAGTATTTTAATATTAAAACACTTTATGTAATATAGGATTTTGGATATATTTTTCCCTTTTTGTATATACTTGTAAAGTTTTAGGGTATTTATCTCTTTACAGTTCGTGGAGATCTTTTTTTATACTTTTTTTATTATAATTTTCTATGCTGCTATAAGTAGGTGTTTGGTCGAACAATTAGTAATCATTTTTAGTCAATTTAAAATTCGCGTACTTACTTTTACATTTTTAATATAATTTAGTACCATTAATTAACGTTATGTGTTATTTGTTTTCTGTTATGTTGAGCCAACTATTTTAAGTGTAGGTTACTTGGTAGTATCAACTTTAATCAAATCAAGATTTCGTTTATATATTAGGTTCATAATCGAACATCCATTTTTTTAATAATTGAATCACATTTGTTGCATTTCTACATTCCAGATTCGTTTGAAAATAACAAACTATGTAACTGATAGATATAGTAAATATAAAATGCATATCACTGGCTAGCCTTGCATAAACTAATCGCACTTATGTACTTACATATTGTAAAGGAATATAAAATAGTACTTAACATAAAAATTAAAATTGTCAAGATATACCTACATGTCTGTATAGGTACTTAACTGAAAAAATATATATATTGTATGTGAAGCAGCTTTAAGTGCACCTGTCTTTAATAAATAGTTGTGGTATTTGTAATAGTGTCTACGTACCAACATTGTGAAGTGGAACTCTCTGGACTATAATTGTTGACAGTTAATTCAATTAGACTAAATTTGGCAATGAAACCGTCGAAAAGTCAGATTCTTTATTACCTATTAAGGGGGTCTTTTTTAACTATTATAAACTATTGTACATTTCGCAGTTAAATTGGATACCTACACAATATCATGTGTATTTATGACAGCAAAAATAGGCAGCTGCATGACATATATATTTCTAAATTTTAGTTATACAGCTTGAAGCAAACTGTCGGATTCGTAAAGCTAAGTTCTTGAGTCGAGTCACAGCTGAACAGACAGTAAATAGGTTTATACCGCTAGATGTCTGTTGCAGTTTGTGAAGAATTGCTTAGTGTTCGCGCGTATGTGTAATAACTTGCCGTATAGTTATCAACGTCGACCTACGCACAGGTCATCAGTTTGCGCCCGATAGTTTGTTTCGAGTTCTGGAGAAAGAATTAATGATCAAATAAAATAGAAGTTTGTGATATTATTAACAGTTTAGCAATTGTCACTGTCTACATGCACACTCTTTGAATAGCACATAAAGTGAACTTGCGTAATTTTATCGCTGTTATACAAAGTACATTAGATTTATAGGATATTTAAATGAGTAGGTCATTCCGAAATATATTTTCGTGTGCTTATTAATGAATATACTATTAGAAAAGTTGTACTTAAAATATATGAAAATCATGTTGTTTCGAACTTATTTGTTGGGTGTTATTTGTATATTATACAGTGATTTATCTTTGTCTAAAGCATGTAAATATCGGCGTATATATGTAGATATTTTAGATAATGAGAGTTCAAATATTATAAAAAATAATAAATTATGTTTAGTTGAATTTCTTTTTCCTCATATCCTTTTCTTACATTACGTATTTAGATTTTCATCAGAGGGGAAAGATCTTTTATAGGCAATAAATAAAAACATACATAGGGATAGGGTGTGAGCGTATATTCCTGGTCGGGGTAGCCAGAACCTGCACTTTTAGATTAAAGCTATCCACAATGAATTGAACCTTTTCTCGTCCACATAACACGATCTCCATTAGGCAGTTGACTTATTACAATATAAACATTGCAGGGTACTTGGGCTAGGTGCCTCCAACACTCGAACTGACTGATTTAATTACGACTAAAACCAGGTTTATATCGCGAACGAACCATCGGATCCGTTCTTAAGGACTCCGTTAAATCCTAAGATTAAACTGCATATGTAATTTATGTATTTTTCATTATACAATTATCTTCACAGATTTATCAACTATATAATGCAATAATGTAGACAACTATTATTACAAACTAATAATAAACTAATAATCTTGTAATCCCACAAATTAACGGGAGGAAAGGACTGAGCGAGCAGTAATATTGCAAAAAAGTTTGGTTTCTAATATCTCGGTTAAATATATATTTTTTATCTCAATGTGGTATCAAAACTAAAATCCAAGTGTCAGTGACACGATGTTTTGTTTTGTTTGTTTGTAATTTGTTCAAAAGTTCAACTGGCAAGCGTTTCTTATCCTTCGATATATTTGCTGTTATCTCCTGGCTTTAACTTATTGTTCTATCTTCACCAGAGTTTAAACTATACCAATTTAATAGTGTGTTGCCACAGCGGAAAAGTTAGAATTTCATTATTTGAGTTTAACAGATATTTAGTGTATGACGTCGTGTAATTGTGTAAGTAAAAAATTGTGCACAACCATTGAAGTTATTCACGAAAAACTGTTTCCACTGGGACAACGTTGTCCCAACAGCACTTTTTTATCCTGAGCACGTAGAAGAAAAAAAGTTTCAAATAATTAGTGTATGACGTGAGATAATTGTGTGACTGCACGGATGGCGTAGTGGTTTAAGCGGTCGCCACGCCGCTCTCTACTGCGCCGAGTGCTGTGGGTTCAAACCCCACATAGGACAACACTTTGTGTGATCCACAAATTGTTGTTCTGAGTCTGGGTGTTCTTTGTGTCCGTTTCATGTATGTTTGTAAAATACCCCGCAAAGATATTTAAGTTTCTGCTGCGACAACGTTATGCCATTTGCTAGATTCCATATAAAACGCTTTTCTAGAGAGTTGTAGATTTTTTCATACGTTGCTTTGAATTTGTTTATACTGTTTGTAAAAACGGATTTTAAAAAAAACATACGATTCAGAAGATATGAACGTAAGGTTATTATTTCCTAGTACTTAACGCTTACAGAACTATTTGGGAGAAAACAGATCTTTGCTAGATGCCATAGTTTACATACAAGCGTGGCCCTGCTGGGCAGACCGACCCCAGCAGGGCCCCCTACAATCGCTTATTACTTTTAAATCAGTGACCGACATGTTCTGATATTTGGCGACTGATTTCAACAAATTAGCGACTAAATTTGTGTTTTTTTTTGTGATTTCAACGATTGGCGACTGATTTCAACAAATTAGCGACTAAATTTGTGTTTGACCTTTTGTGTTTTCAAAATCAAAATCCATGATGGTGGCCCTGCCAGGGTCAGTGACACCACATGTAAAATTTCATTTCTTTACACTCAATAATTAACGAAATACAATTAAAATACTGACAACCACCGCAATTCGTACATAACTAGTGAAGCAGTTGTTCGTGAATAACGCCACAATGATTGGATGCACAAATTTTTACTTACTATACACAATTACATGACGTCATACACTAAATATCTGTTAAACTCGAATAATGAAATTCTTCTTTCTCCGAATTCTTCTTCTTCTTCCCGAACTTCGGTAACGCACACATTTAACAAAGTTAAAGTACAAAATGTGTAGGGTATTAAAATACAAAAAAAAAGAAATGGTTTGCTGCACCACTTTATTCATTTATAGGTACATCAATACATTAGTCAACGGCATAAACTTCAGTGCCTACGTACTACCTAAACAACGTATAATATTGTCTGTAAATTATTTTTCTATACTTTACAGGTCAGGTGACTAAGAAACATCCACTTACGTCACTAACTATCGATAACTTTGCTACTGACACTAAACGATCCAATAAATTACGTTACTTACATATTCAAAAGCAAGATTACATTATAACCAGTTTTATAATAACCTCTTCATCTAATTCAGATATTCCTTCATCTTTTTGAATTATAAATATAGAAAACTGCAAATGCATATTATGTTTAAAAAAAATATTATTAACTTGGGCAAGAATCCCTCCTGGAAATGTAATACATATTTTTATGTTATAAGTACTTTATTAAATCTAAGCATTTTTTTGAAATCCTGTCTCTTATCGGGTACTTTATTTAGGCAAGGTTAAATGGTAAATATCGGCATATAATCTTATAGATTCTGGATTAAGTTATACCACTGTTTATATTAGAGTAAAAACATTTTAGGATGTATTAATTAATATTCATCAAAACCTATTGCGTCTCAGTACCTCATATATAAGATGTAAAACATTCATCAGAATAATAGACACTTATCATCAATGTAGATGACAACAACAACTGTTAAATATTTACGTCACTTGCACGACTAGGAATGTTGTATATAAATGCACAAGCGGGGCCTACACCTACATACATATATGACTACGATAAATATATATAATCCAATGACGACATATGATTAATTTGTTCTATAACATGTACGCTTCAATGCGAGGAACAGTAACACTCATGGTTATAAAAAAAAAATATAGGTACAAAAATATGACTAGCACTAATTTATATTCACAATATGTAAATTCATCGCAATACTGAAGACTGGAATGAATTTTATACATTCATGTTACTACTTTTATTTATTAAATTAAATATTATATCACAATTTTAAAATAAATATAGTTTAATATCTATAACATTCAATTCGATCAGATTTAATAAACTCAATAATACATTAAAACATCTCAGTAAATATAAACTAATAAACTTCGAGATGTTTGAGATCTAAACTTAAACGATATCAAAAAACAATAATGTACAATTTTCTATTCGTATTAATACTGTTTTAATAAATAAATAAGCGGCATCGTAAAAAGCATATACCGATTTTAAACCAGAGGCATATCTAATACAAAATAGCTTCGGCGGTAAATACAAGCGAGATAACTATTCGGTATTAGAGAATATCGCTATACAAATACATAATTACATTTTACAGTTTCATATCGCTAGCTACGGCATCGATAGACTTAAAATTAATAAGACCGAGCTATCGATAAGTATGAGTCCGAGGCGTAACTTACAATCAGGGAACTCAAAACGAAGTCAACACGAGCCGCCTTCTCTCGTACAGAGGCCCAAGTGTGAGTTTATTTCACGTCAACTCTGCAGCTCGGCGTCTCTCGGCAGATAACGCGCTCGCTGCAGAGAGCGAGTCGATGCGAAATAAACAAACACTAAGCCCTCAGATCTTATATCGATTCGTCATAAAGTACAATCCAGACATTAGTGACACGAACGGCTAGGGCTAGTCCCTGCGCGCGTTGATGTGGTCGTGGCAGCGCTGGCACACGCGCACGGGCCGCAGCGCGCGCAGGCGGCGCACGGGCGCCTCGTAGCGCGAGCAGCGCCCGCAGAACACGGCGCCGCACTCGCGGCAGTGGTGGCGCCGCTCCAGCGCCGTGAACCGCACCTGCCACCGAGTACAGAGTTTACTTACTCGCCGCTTGTAATACTTGTCATGTATTATCGTAGTCGTATTCACTGTTTATATATGTATAATATTAAAGCCTGAAATCTTTCATATCGCTTAGTTCTATTATAATCGAGATCGACCAAAAGCTTTTAATTATTATTCTGAATAGAACTTTTAAATATAGAATAGAAAAACACTTTCTCCTATGTTTGTCAAAGGATTAACATATAAGTAAGATAAATTAATGCAAATAGCTGTGTCTTCTCTTTAATAACCCGATTTCTTTTCTCTGCTTAAAAGTCTTTGCGAGCTTTAGCAAATCGGTATTATTAAATAATAATAATAACCTCAAACATCTTACACACGGAGGTTTGATCCTAAACTTGCTTAGTTAGCCTGTGCTATGATAACGAACTACTGATGAACATACGTATATACTTCTCACTTTACTTATGTTATGACCATATTATAAATAAATAACACTTAAACACAAAACAAACGTTCGTGCTCATCACACAATTATTTGTCCTAGGTGGGAATCCAACCCACGACCTCTGGCTTAGCACGAACCACTAGACCAACAGGCCCATCGAATTTAACTAAAATTACTTTATTCCTAGCTTTTAGTGTTTTAAAAGTGTGTGGTTTTACATTTGAAATTTACAAATGTATAAGCCTAAACAAACGATATTAGAAATATAACACGACTGTTATTTATTATTTTATACACTTTAATAGTCCATTAGAGAACATAGGCCTCTCTTTAAAAAGGAGGTTTTGATCTACTATACCACGGAGTTGGTAGTTTGTTTCAGATTTTTATTCTGTTTGTGTGCTGTTTTCCTGCGTAGTTCACTCCATTAGTCGGCTCTTACGATACCCACGAGATGAATAAGGGTGGTGACGTGTGCGTTACCCCAGCAAAATAATGTCGAAAATGGTCATTTAAACTTTATAGATAATTAGTTGCTCTCCTTCTGTAATTGTTAGGCACATTTTTAAATTTGTTTCACTTAAACTTTTTTAGTTATTTCAAAAAAACATTTCCTGCTGGAGTAACGTTTGAAACGTTACCGCAGCCAGACATTTTCTTTTTTAATTGTAATATTGAAATAAATTTTAGCTAGATAATTAGTTATCTGGTCTAGGTAAATGTTACAACTTATTTGGTATTTGTATTTTCTTCGGCTGCGAAGTTATTCGAAATCCTGCTGGAGTAACGTTTGTGGGTTTGCTGGATCTCTGAAACGGGTAAGCGGATTGTAACCATCTTTTGTACATAACTTCTTAAGGATTAGTTTTAATTTGTTCGTCAATAAAATAACAAAAATAATGGACCGTTTAAAAATTATTTAGGTAAGTATGAAAACACTTCAATACGTCCTAACACTTTAAATAAGACCTCTAAAGACTTACTTCAAACGTTATTCTATTGCTTGTAACTACATTCAAATGTATACGAATTTTCGTAAGAATACTATAAGTGACTAAAAAGTTATTATGAAATGTAGCTCTCCACGTTCACGATCACAATGTGTGCGGCCTTTTTAGGCCACCCATAAACCTGTGTGTGGATATATAAACTGAATGTTATGCCAATAATTAGTTGTTTAGTTCAGTTGTCTACCTGTAGAATTTCAGCGTCGTACATATAATAATTTACGAGATAATTAAATAAAAGTCATTAGAAGGTGCAAGTCCGTGGTAATCCGACCATGTTTAGGTGGTTACAAAAAAGCGATCACCCAGTACATTGGGCTGTCTTTTAAAATGTTTAGTGTAATACACCTTACGATTTCGGTACAGTTGCGTACAGTGTTAAATACATTCAATATTTATTCATTATTATTACCTATTATTTATTTTGTTTTTTTCCCTAATTGATCTTAAGCACTAGTTTCTTTACTTAAAATTTCTTTAGTCTTTTTTACTACCGGAGCTACAATCAACAGAAAATCTGCACTGGTCCGCTAAAATTATAAATATGTAGATACATGTATGAACGATTCACCTGACTGCAATAAATCGAAAATTTAAACCAATAAGAAATCGTTTCATTTCTTTGATTTTTTTTTGTAAATAAATAACACTAAAGTAATTGTATTTTATTTTGGGGTGTACAGAGCTTAGACTTGAATGCATCAAAATATTTAAAGCAACAAGTCATCTACAATAAGTTAAAATAGACCGAATAGTAGAAGAATACAGTTGTAAATTAGAATGCATCAACATTGCATCGCCCAACAGTCGTATACGTCGTAAGAGTAGGTAATATTGTTCTGTGGTCTATACCGAGAACCGAGAATTATCTATACCTATGTACCTACCGTTAAGCGTTGAGCCCGTGACTGTTGATTTCTGTTAAAAACGAACAGTTGTTGAATGATATTTTGATATAATAACGGTAATTTAATTTATCGAGTGAAAGTGATACATTTTTATAGATAAAATTATTGGTCAGATAATATTTATCAATCAAGAATCGCTGATAATACATCCTTCGCTAGAACGCGGGAGGGGAGGGGCGAAGGGATACTTTATTGTTTGCAATTTGCATCTAGTGCACTAAACTTGACCCTTAGGCAGATAATATACGTGTTGTAAAGTACGTGTGCGCTTCCGCTTTCTATTTTGCAAATATTTATCGTATTCTTGAGAGTTCTTCAATATGTGTGTACCTAATTACTAATAATGGGCGTTAGTGCTAATTCGATTCAATTTAAGTAATTGTCAATTCTTGTCTTAGGATATTAATTACTAATGCTAATATTGAAATTTTGTTCAGGGTGAACAAATTAAAAACGATCATAACTTGTAGGTAGGTATATAACTTATTACTAATTTTACATAAATAATTTATTTTATTATAATTTAACTCACCGCGATTTTGTGATCAAATATTTTATTTTCTGGAAACATTATTACAGAAATATTGCAATACAGAGTTTGTTCGCGATATGATAGCCTAAGTCGATTCATCACTTAAAAAAATCCCCATCTATTCACAAAATACCTATTTACAACGCATACGTTACACTCTTCAAAACTTAAATTACCTATACCTACCTTTAAATTAAACTTCAAATAACAAATACTACGCAGGTACCAATTCTATGAACAACTATAAACAATTCACCTAAACATTACGAGAAAACAAAAGCATTCAAAACAATACCTAATCTCCCGGCTGATTACTAATTATGCAATAAACAATCCTAAATAAAAATTATTTAAAAAACATGTAGTTTTTTGTAACACTTATGTACATATCCGTAGTAAACTTACAAATAATATCCTACATATTTTAAAAGCCAGCACAATGTACTGGGTGATCGCTTTTTTGTAACCACCTAAACATGGTCGGGTTACCACGGTCTTGCACCTTCTAATGACTTTTATTTAATTATCTCGTAAATTATTATATGTACTACGCTGAAATTTTACAATTAGACAACTGAACTAAACAACTAATTATTGGCATAACATTCAGTTTATATATCCACACACAGGTTTATCGGTGGCCAAAAAAGGCCGCACACATTGTGATCGTGCACGTGGAGAGCTACATTTCATCATAACTTTTTAGTCACTTACAGTATTCTTACGAAAATTCGTATACATTTGAAGGTAGTTACAAGCAATAGAATAACGTTTGAAGTAAGTCTTTAGAGGTCTTATTTAAAGTGTTAGGACGTATTGAAGTGTTTTCATACTTACCTAAATAATTTTTAAACGGTCCATTATTTTTGATATTTTATTGTCGAACAAATTAAAACTAATCCTTAAGAAGTTATGTACAAAAGATGGTTACAATCCGCTTACCCGTTTCAGAGATCCAGCAAACCCACAAACGTTACTCCAGCAGGATTTCGAATAACTTCGCAGCCGAAGAAAATACAAATACCAAATAAGTTGTAACATTTACGTAGTCCAGATAACTAATTATCTAGCTAAAATTTATTTCAATATTACAATTAAAAAAGAAAATGTCTGGCTGCGGTAACGTTTCAAACGTTACCCCAGCAGGAAATGTTTTTTTTGAAATAACTAAAAAAGTTTAAGTGAAACAAATTTAAAAATGTGCCTAACAATTACAGAAGGGGAGCAACTAATTATCTATAAAGTTTAAATGACCATTTTCGACATTATTTTGCTGGGGTAACGCACACGGTGGTGACACTCCGCATCCTTAATCCATCACCACACGGAGCTCATTACTCAGCTACTAATATATTATACGAATGCATATAACAAACCTGGCATTGTGTACAAAAGGGAGCGGTATCGTCCCGTATCCAATGATCGGCCGGACCGCCCTTTGCACCCGAAGCGCTTGACATGTCCGGGGCTGACCACCGGAAAATCTGTTAACAATTTTATTGTAATAGTAGGACTTTTTAAGTTACTATATTTTTGCGATTTAATGTAATAAATATACTTGTTACCTTAATAACATGAAATAACAACATTAATCGTGGCATATAAGCCATGTGATCAGTGTATTGATTGAAATCCCAATATACAATTTTTATCACAAAATGATTGCATGTACACCTTTATTTTGCAACAAAAATTAAATTATTATGATACAATATAATATATCAATATGATACAATATATATATATATATATTGTATAATAATAATTTAATTTTTTGTTATGTATGATCGATGTAAAATTTTGATATCAAATATGCATAAAATTCTTGTGAGTTGAGTACAATTAGAAGCTGAAAAAAAATGCAAATGAAATGAACAGATAAAAAACAATGATATACCCGTCCTCTGGCGTCTCCGACCGCCAGTCCTCGGCCAGTCCTAGCTGCTGCGACTGCGGTGACGGAGGCAGGGCAAGCATTGTCTCGCCGCTCGTAAGCTGTGTGCATAGTGAGCTTGCCGCGCAGGACCAGTCGACGAATCCACTTTATTGATGATACTGTGTTTAAAAATCGATTAAATAGTAATCTTTTGAATTTTGGTCTGGTATGAACATTTCGCGAGAAAAGAAACAAGCACTTCTGCTTTGGTTGTTTATTTTTGATTATTGTTTGTTCAATGAACTAAGCTCTAAACTACTAGTTAGACTTGAAAAATTCTTAGGTAAGATTAAGTTCAATATTTATTTTATTTTTAGCCTGTATTGTCACACTGCAGGGAAAAGGCCTTCCTCTCTCCCTTCCAAATCTCATTGTCGTGTGTTAGTTCGGACCAGTATTTTCGGAAGACGTCTAGATCGTCCCGCCATCGTCGCATGGGCCTACCCCGCTCTCGTTTAGCACCTTGTGGGATCCAAGTGTGTTGCTAATTTTTGCACATAGATCCGTCGGCATGCGGCAAATCCCACTTGAGTGCGGCGGCTTTATGAGTGACATCTGCGATTTGTTTTGGAGCGTAGTACTGTATTTCTTATTGGATCTGTCAGCCGTACGCCCAGAATACTACGCTCCATGTCTCGCTGGCAAACCTACAGCGCGGACTCCTGCTGTCCAGTCAAAGACCAAGTTTGTGCACTATACGTAGGAATGGGGAGGATGCACATGTCCATGAGCTTATGCTTATGACATTAGGGAAGGTTACCTTTCATGAGGTCCTTTATTGGCCGATAGCTCTTCCGGGCGTTTTCGATGCGGCACGAGACTTCTTTGGCCTGTCTTGAATGTAAAGAGACTTTTTGCCCGAGATGTAATTATTCGTGGACATATGCAATCTCCGCACCCTCTACATTTAGTTTAATTTGGTGCTATTGGTCATATTTTTTGTCTCTGACGTGTTCATCTAAAGTTAAAGATTAAGTTATTTAAAAAAAAAAAAAGTTTACCTGTATCGACGGTGGGTTGTGTCATCTTCGCTTTTTGTACGGGTGCGGGTGAAGCCGGTGCGGATATCACTACAAACGAGTCCGAGAGGCTGGTATCCGATTTGCTTGTTCTGAGAGCGCTTTCAGTACTCGTATCTACTGCCCCACCACCTCCAGTCTCCATCGAACATGTCTCACTCGACTCCCCTATGCTGCCACCACCTAATGAAATATTAATTTTAATTCATAAATAGAAAGAGTAATTCAATCTAATGTTAACTACAATGTGTATAATAAACAAGTTGTTGTTGTTGTTGTTTATGTAGCTTTACTATAGTTCCTATAATTTTTTCAAGTTCCCCCTATAAACTTATTACATATCATCCACACTCAAACGGTAAACATGGCTTTTGTTTTATTTGCTCTGTATTTGATATTTACAACAAAAAAAAAACTTTATGTATTATTTTTAAATAAATTACACATCCCATTGAGCATAGAACAATAGTGAACAAATTTAATTATAAAAAAAGATAAAAAAAAAACACGAACATTTTAAATGCAAACAGTTAAAAATTCTAAAGTAAACAAGGTGATTATTAGTGGATGACAAAAGACTTAGCGCCCGGTGAACGGGATTCACGCACTTCCGTAGCGTGCGTAAGTAGCATAACCGCTTGTACTGGCGCTCGGTGCCACATCGCACGGCTCGCGCCGCAGTACAATTGGCGCAGACAGACTAACGTTTTATACTAACAGATAGACCATGCTCAAAATAGTTTTTTGTTGTTGTGAATATTGTGTAACTATTCAGGAGCATTTAGAAAAAAGCTGTTATTACCTCATTGCAGACAGACACTAAAATTATTTTTATTTATATAGATTTATTTTGCTTTATTGTACTAAAATTTTAGTCATTTGAATAGTAACTCTAAATATACGTTTCAGTTTTACTCACTTTTACGATATAAAGGATTCGTCTTTGACTTCCTTCGAAGTACGACATTCCCTTGTTTCTGCAACTTGCACCTTTTATCTTCCTTCTCTAATTCTAAGTCTTTCTCATTGTCATACTCTTGTTGCGCTTCATCACAAGAATCAACATGATCTTCTTTTTGTTCGGTGTATTGTTGCGTTTCTTCATTATCACTACAAATATCCTTTTCGTCATGTCTTCTGGCAGACTCTTTGGCGCTAGTGGTTTCACAGGCGTCTGATAGAGAGCTTTCTGAACCAGACTTTGTGATATTTCCCCCTGTAATATATATATAAAACGTGAATATTTAGAACGATATTTGCACAGACAATTAAATGACAAATAATTCAAACTAAACTGGTGTACAAAATGTCGTCCTTACTGGTTTATTAAAATTTAGTTACTGCATTATAAGTACGTTCAAATGTCAACGGTTCAAAAATTCGTATGTTAGTTAGAAACTAGATTATTACATAAACTAATGGTATGAATGTAACACACGAATCTTGAAAAAAAACAACAAATTATTATTCTTTATGTATGTTGTCATTCAAAAAGACTAAAGTAAGTACAACTTCAAAGGCTGTTAAATTAAATTATTTCAAACCGCAACCATTTGTACACACTTCTTACGTGTAGTGCTTCTGAAACTTTTAATATAATAATTAATAAACATTCATACATTTATAGTAAATTTATTGAAAAACATCCTCCAAACCTCAACACATAAAATACCTTCATTTTCATGTGACAAGCTCATTTGTTTAACGAGTTCCTCGACCCTCTTGATAGCTGCTTCCCTGTCACAAGGCTCTATTTCTTCAGTCTTCGTTTCGCTCTCCGATTTCACCTCATTTTCAGACTTAGTATCTTCGCTAACTTGTACAGACAACTTGCTTTTTTCATTATCTTTGGCTATAGAACTAGAAGTGGGTTCAACACTTTCTCCTTCTATACTTTCGATTTGTTCCTCTGCTGTTTCCGCCACGTAGTCTATCGACCACATCTAAATGAATATATTCTATAAGTAGTATGTAGATATCCGAACGGTAACGGAAAGGGAGTTGATGATGGTATTTTGAAAGGTAACTAAAAATATTCCTAATTTGATGTGTGTAAAATGCGATTTAAGCATTTGCATAGGATTTCCCGCGAAAAATCATACCACAATATTGGTCAACCATCGCCTACATCATCCATCGCCATCACATTATAAATTCCTTTTTACTCTCTGTACAAAAAACTGTCAACCCTTTACAATGTTTACTAATCTTCAGTACATGGTAAAGCTAGGCTATTTTCATGCGTTCGCGTTTCGACTGAAACTTTAATTGATATAATATAAATATAACTTGTTTCATAAATATACTATGAAGCATTTTATGTACTTTAGACACCTGCTTAAGAATTGTCGAATATCGTAATTTTCTAATACGAGAGTTACGACTAGACTGTTTATAACGTATATCTTTTATGTATTGAAATATGTATTGAATAAATCATACCTTTGTAAATAAACTCAAAATACGTATATGTAAGATAAAATGTGACATTATAATATTAGGGACATTTTTTAATTATTACTATTATGTTAAAACTACTGATTCAAAATGATAATGATATTGCATGAATGATAACTAATAACGACACAATTATGTTTTTTGTTTAAATACTATTGCTATTTTGTTAATTATTATATTTCCAATACAATGTAATTTGATGATGAATTGATGACTATGACTAATTGCACTAAGGGCTTGATCGTGTATAACTTACCCGAACAACTCCATCAGTGGAGCCTGTAATGATAACATTGAGTGGATCCCACTCTCTGTTCTCGCTGAAGGCGACACACAAGACTTGTTGCGTCCGCTCGCGTCCCCCTATCGTGTCCACAGCGCCGAGCAACTCGCCGTTGATAGACCACGCGTATAGCCAGCTGCCACTGCATGTCGCTATATCACCCTGCAAAGCAAACACTATTAATTGCGTGTGCATCACGAATGTATTCAAAATTTCCTGTCTGTCAAACAAAAGTTCTAGTAAAAAAGATTTTAAATGATCAATCCGGTTGCTTATCAATAAAAGATCTCTGGATTTGAAGCTTTACGAAAATTCAATTTATCAGGAATCCGGTTCCGAATAATTCATTGCAATGAGTGCAAACAAGCAGCGTATTTCTACCTTAATGTTTACTATCGTATAATAAGAGTTTTAAATAACGCTTTTCCTGTAAATATCTTACTTTTGTGTATTATCCGTATAACGGTTACAGATTACACTTTTTACTTCAACAATGGTCTTTTCTATTTAGTGTAGACCCCCATCAGACGCGACAACTGTTTACTGGCAGTACGATTATGCTCATTGTTTGAGTTCAGCCCTATTTATGCAATAGTACTACTGATATAGTAAAACTGAATATATTTTTTGTTTGTGTTTTTATCGCCAGGCCGAATGGCATATGCTCAAATTCGTTTAGTTCATTTAAAAAAAATGTCAACAATTATTGTGCATTTTCGTGAACTCTATAATTGTAGTCCTATCTTTTCATAATATATGCCAATTTTAAAAACCTTTGTGTCCATACTTAGGATTACACAATATTATAAAAGGATGTACTAGTATTTAAAACATTATTTAAGGTAACCATTCAATAATGTTCTTTTATTATTTTAATGTTATCTTTTTCGATTAAAACTCCAATGATTTATAAGTAAAATCGGTTAATAATATCATCCTTTAATTTAATTAATACCTTTAATTTAATAAATACCTTTAATTTAATAATTACCTTTAATAATATCGGTTCATTTTGTGAATATAATCAAGAATATAGTTCTAGAATATTGGCTGAAATATAATTTACACAATTGTAAATGATGACATATTGCTTGCCTTGAAACAATTTTATATTAATAAGTTTTAAAATTGTGCTATAACTTCAAGGGCTAATTCTTTTACGAAATTGAAAAACTGATTATCAAGATCAACCACTTTTAAACAAGCGATAGTTCTTATCAGAGGTAGTGGACATATTCTTACAGTAACAAAAAAGTTCTTACAGTAAGATCGTCAATAGCCAGCGCTGACACAGGTGGTGGCGGCCCATACGACTGAGGGGGCAATAGCTGCCTAATGAAGGTCCCTCGCTCCACGTCCCACACGATAGCCTGTCCATCCCGACTGCCGCTCACCACCAAGTTGTACGCTGGACTCGCGGCTAAACATGTAACAGCTTCTTCGTGACCGTAGAGACATACTTTGACGGCAAGCCGACGTCGTCGGGCCCAGTACTGCCATACTGTGACCACCTACAATAAGAAAGATATTTATTACTTTCTGGAACTATAATATATCCATTACAAAAATAGTAGTTTATTTAATAAAATCATTCTACCCAAAATACTTTACTAGTTAATACATACAAAAGAAATTTCTTCTTTTAGAAATAGGGTAGAATAAGGGATGAACTGTTTTAGTGAAATTCGTCATTTTTAAAGTTAGAAACACGAAATAAATCAATCTCGCGAGCGAAGTCGCGGGCAGTAGCCACTTTATAATATACTTACTGTACTAGTACCAGCAGTAACTATAGTCTTATCAGAGGGGCACACGCAAGTGACGATCTCACCGCAAGCTTGAGCAACAGTCTCGCATACAAATATAGCTTTATCGTTATCATAGTTGCCGATCCTCAGTGAGTGGTCCGCGAATCCCCAAGCCACGTACTTGTTATAGGTTGGCGGCATCAACACTTTGTTTTGTTCCACTGCTAATATAGCTTTGTCTGTGTACAGTATCTGTCCTACCGGCCCTTTTACTTCTGCAAGCGAGTAATAACTTTTTAAAACATTTAATTCTTGTATTAATAGTAGATTCAATATCAATAGCTGCAGTATTTTTCCTAATTATTAAAAATATATGTACATGTTATACATAAAGAGAAGTTTAAACACAAAATTATAATAACAAACTTTGATGTTCATTCAAATCCTTTTCACTGGCCTGTAACCAAGGTACATAATTGATTCTCGTGATTGAAAAGTCTCAATTTCGAAAAGTTAATTTACCTTTGACAGGTTGTAAAGAAGGCCTCAAGTTTTCAAGATTGTGAAAGAACAATTTTTCCGGTGGTGTAATACCCTGTGATGGTATTATGTTATTTGGATCCAGTATCGTAGAACTCCGTTGAGACATTTTTTTGCTAGGATGCGCCTTCTTGAATAACTGCTTTGGTATCTGACCAAAATTATTTATGAAACCAATCGTTGCGTTCTTCTTTAATGGATCGTCGATACTAAAATAAAAATTTACGAAAAATAACATTACCTTCTGATAACTAAGCATTATAACGACAAACATTATTATTTAAGGTTACATAATTATATTGTTTGGGGCCAATTACATTTAAAAAAAATACGGTTCTATTTAAGTATTAATAGTGGCCAGTGTATAGAATTGTATCTTCAAGTCATCATCAACAGCCTATACTAGTCCACTGCTGGAGTATTCACCTACAAATACGCCATATATAAAATGATACAGAGAGCTTTGAGCGGTTATGTACTGTTTGTATAAATTTCGAAAGTCAAATTTAAAATAACGGTCATTAAGTACTTTAAATAAATTAAAATCATTTTACAGAAATAGGCGTTTAATAAAACATACTTGTAAATATCAACGTTTCCCTCATAGAACAGATGGTGGAACACATTGCAAGCGTCAACGGCAGGTTGTCCTTGCTGCTTATGACCAAAGACGAGATCGATCCAGTGGTGCAGGCGGTGAGACACATAATCTGACTCTAGAGCAGCACGATGCATGCGGATAAACTCCCTGGGATCACCGCGGGCCCAGGGTGGCAATACTACATCGCCAAGTGCTACCCCTGATTGCTTGTAACCTGAGAAAATTATATTTTTGGAACGGTTCGTGTAACCAATATCAAATACTACTAATTCTTTAATAGTAATACTTTTATGATACTATGTAAGTTTTATGTACCTAACAGATTTAATCCGAAACAGGGATGGGACAGAGTGTTTGTATAAACTTCATCATCATCAGCCTATCGCGGTCCATTACTGGACATAGGCCTCTCCCATTGCACGCCACTTAGATCGTTTGTATAAACTTGAAAACACTTATTTTAAATAAAGGCAATAGGGCATATGCCTGCCTTTTCTTAATTTTTTTAAACGTTTCTGCTACTTATTACATTCTACACAAAAATAAATATAATATACACGAAATATAAACCATTGAGCTAAAAAAAAATACTAATATCACTATCATTTTAGGGCGATTGAACACATCATCATCAAAATATTCAAACTTGCAACTAACAAAACAAACAACGTGCGTCGCACTGATCCTGAGATTGTCCACTGGCTGTGCCAGTGTAAACCGGTTTTTTACAGTCTTGCCGCATACGCGACAAGCGGCCAGTTGTCGCTCAACCATGCCCCGCGTACTTGTATTAGTGCAAGTGATTTGCCCGGTTGTATGAGTTTATCTCTGTTCTGTTTATCTACTCGTGATTTAAACGCGGCCATTTTGGCATGCTTATTCTGTAGTCGGATTACAAAGAACAAAGTGTTTGGTTCACAAAGTTACTGAAAGTTAAAAAAGAGAGTGATAAAATCAACTTATTACCATGGAAAACCACAGAAAAGTTTATAATAAATATTGTGTCTTTCCTACGGGCGAAAATAACATCAAAACTGCACCTGTCAAAGTATATTTCCTTATGCCGAAAGACTTCGATCGATGACAAGGTGCACGTATTCAATGAAGCAGTGACTAAATTGTACGATACCCATGCACCGGTGAAGGCTAGGTTTAAACGACCGTCGGCATCCTAGACGACCATGGGTATACAGATGACTTTTGTGCATCTACCATGTTTTGGCTCTGAATCGCCCTAAAGTTGACTGGGAGGAAGTGCCTACGGCACTAAGTCCTCTTTTGTCAGATTTGTGCATTAAGTGTAAATAAATAAATAAAAATACAGGTATAAGGCAAAAGTGGTGCAAGGCGATGAGAAGACACAATGAATCGTATTTTAGCTGTTTATACTGACTGTTGTGAAGATCATTTTTACTTAGTTACCTGCAGATAATTTTTTGTACAAACTTCGACGAAAACATAACAGTTTACGAAAAGTTCATAAAAATATTTATTTATTAGTTTTATTCTTTCACAATACATTTCATGACTATGTTGTATTCTTAAGAATTATATAAGTATGTATGTGTATCAGGCACAAAATATATTCGGCTAATACTTAAAATAATGATATTTTCTAAATATCTAATAAATACGTATTTATTCATAATATATACAAAACCAGACAGTCTTTCCGCACTAGGATTTAATACTTTAACACAGAAAACGAATAACGTAATATGAAACAACCGCAAAACAATACAAAATAATAATCACCAAAACTATACAAACAACTTGTTGACAGTGAAATTTGACGTCACATTTTGTTCCACCAATAGCGTTGCGTTTTAGAAATTTGCGAGGGAATTTTAAAGAAACCACTTTTTGATGATTAAATTTCACTATTAAATTATGATAAATTTCAAAAATAATTGTATAGGTATCTTTTTTTTTGTAATAAAGTTTACAAATGAAAATATTTTGTCTATTTTGGAGTCACGTGCATATTCTCTATTCATAGCGAATAGAGCAGTCGGTAACGTTTAATCATGATAAGCAACGTATTTAAATTAAAGCTATTATTCACATGCTAATTATTATTACTACTATTCTTACCTAAATCAAAGTTATTGGAATTCACTAAAAACTCAGGCAAGTAGAAAAATTCTGGTATTAACTCTTTCACATCAGCCATGTTATGTCTTGATGCCGAGTTCCAAGCCTCTTTGACCGAGTGAAACATTCTAAAAAAAAGAAGTTAACATAGACAATTACTTGCAGATAAATTGCCGGCAAATAATACTATTATGATTAGTGTGGTGTGTAATAGTGATGTTTTCATACCTATCAGCCAAATCAAAATGTCCGCCTTGTAGTTTCAAGAAATGTTGAGTAAATGGCTCCATTCTCACTAGATATGAACACACGATCATAGCTGATGAATAGTGTGTTCCGTAATGATAAGGTGGCGTTTCACCATGGGGGTCATCCCATTCCTGCAAATAATGAGCAAAATTGTAAGAAAACAAAATTAAAAAAGAAACAAATAAAGAAAATAGTATTCTATTTTACGTTAAGAAAAAACGAGGTCCTTATATTAATAACGCTTTCAGAGTTCTATCAAAAGAAAATTATTAGTATACGCATGTACAGGATGTAAGGGATGCCCTAATGAATACTAAAATAGTGTATTCAGACCATCATTCTGAGTCGAAAATCACGGGAATTTTTTGCCGGCAAATTAAAATTTTTATGCAATCAGCTGTCAAAGGTTAAGGTCATTCCCACAAAAGTAATAACTACATGTGTATTCCGTGCAAACAGTCTACGCACACTAACACAAGTTGGCGGCCGAAATGGAGGCCCCAAGTGCTTCGTCTGTTTGAATCCGTTTTTGGTACAGTACAGTTTTTGGTCGTATGCGGTTTTTGTTAAATTGTTTACGGTGAAATGTCCTGTTTACTCAAAAAAAAAAGATGAATTTTCCGGCAGAAAATTCCAATGATTTTCCATTTTTTGATATACATTGGTCTGAATACACTATTTCAGTATTTGTTACGACGTCCCTTACACTTTAACTCACCTTATATCTTTTCCTAAATTGGTCCAATCTATCCGTGCTCTGTGCACCCATTGGTTTGGTTAAATCCCTGAAGGTAGCCGGATCATTAAGGTCCAACTCCAGCGAGTCGTAGTCGGCCAAGATCCAAGGAAATACCGGGTATTGCATCAAATCGTTGTACGATCGACCCGCCAGCGTGTTCAGGTGCATCAAGTATTGGAAGTTGGAGATTTCGCCTCTCTAAAAACATTGATACCTTACTTAAGGAGGACTTTTAAACATACATATTATTTTTGTATAGCAATGGACTATATAAAATATGTTAGTGTAGTAAGCTCGAACTTCCCGCTTAAATTTTAATGTGATATCGAGATCAATGATCAGAATCTTTAAAATATGTACCAACAGATAAATAGTATCATACCAGCCATCGTTGCGTAACAGATGTGTCACCAATAAGCGTGGCAAGCAGACCGCCGGGTTGCTCGACGGCCACGCCGCGCTTCTGGCCCGCCACGGAACCCGCCGCACTGTCTGCCATACCCGTTGCTAAAGCTGTAAATCTACTGTATACCTGCCAAGGAACATGAAAATATAAGTTACTATAGACACGTTGTAATCTTTATTATTGGACTGTCATAACTCACATGAAAATGAAAAAAAAAACTGGGTAATACCGTTACATACTGTAATAACAAATTAAAATAAAATGCATTTGTCGTTTGTTTTAGTTCGTTATTTTTTGTTGATGCCTGTTTTTTGAGGCCGTTTTTCTTAATCATAATACTGGCAATAGGTAGACGCTAAACGCTAAGACGTAAAAATATTTTTTAATTGTAATAGTGTACACTCTAAACCCTTTACGCAACTGAACTCGCATTTATCTGATTTATCTTTATCGAATGAGGTTATTCAGTGTTTTTTTTTTTTGTTGTTGTAAAATAACTATAATCTCTTACCTTATTTCGCACTTTTCGAGGAAAAGCGAGTAAGTAGTTTCGGCCGTCACTTGAAAAGACTTCTAACGCTATTGGTTGTAGCAAATATCTCCTTTTGTGAACTTCCCTAAAGGCATAGAATAAAAAAAACGTTTTGTTTAATGGAACATACAGAACCATACAGCTTTCTATTAAGTGTGTACTAACCGAATATCTTCATACAAGAATTTGGAACATTGTCTCTGATTGCTTCGCTGTATGCCTTGACTTGGTAATATTGGTTCATAGTCATCAGGACAACTGTCCAAGTCACGTATTTCTCTATTCTTTAGCAACGTAAAGCCATCGATAACGTAGCAGTGCTCTCTACCGAATAGTAGTAGACCTTCTGTAGTATCCAAGCCTTGTATCCTTGCACAGCGGAACATGTGGGTAATCTAATAAGCAAAATATCAATCTGTACTCATTTATTGTTTTAGTTACTTTGCTAATATATTAAACAAGCATTTCGTTATTAGAAAATAACTTTCATGCACAGGCAGTCACGTATACTCTTAATATACAGAGAAAGGCAATTACTATACTATATATACCTAATCCTTTTAAAGTCTGTCAAGTTGATTTCTGTTTTAACAAATTGTACGAATATGTGTACAAGATTTTAAATGTTAATCACTATTTTGTAAAACAACCATGTAAAAAGAGACTGCAGTACCTTCTCGTGGTGTTCTAATAACCTAAGAAGTGTTTGGTTATCTGGTGGTGGAGTCGGTTGTTCATCTTCGTCCTCATTGTCAGGACCATCTTCATTTGCTGAAATGAGCTTGTGTTTATAATTATCCAAGAAAATTTAAAAAGAATATTTAAATATTAAATTGCTAAATACCTTCACCGGAAGACTGACTGTTCGTGCCTCGGCTTACAACGCCGCTGGTGACGAGATCTGAAGGTGATCCTTCGCCATTAGCCACATCGAGGGAAGTTTCTCGGCTGTTGTGGTATCATAACATAGTTAGAACTAAGTGCTGTGATATTATAACATGATGTGAGCAACACTGGTAGGTCTAGTACACTCTAACGACTTTCTAGCTTAAAATTGTTATGCTATCTTTCCTTGTATGTGTAAATATACTAGTGTAATTCTCCATGAATTAAAGAACTGAATTAACAGTAAATTAATAGAGGAGACCAATTTATGACTATACTATTTCATTTATATTTTTGTACAGAACGTATTGCGACGTTTACTGAGACTGTATTATGTACGAGGGGTGATCAATAAGTAATGATAATCAATATGAAACAGAACTATTAGATTAAAAAAAGTATTTTATTTTTCAACATAGTCTCCTTGCAAGTTAATACATTTAGTGTATCTTTTTTTCTAAGCCCATGATTCCCTTAGAAAAAAATTCTTTGTCTTGACCCTCCCAAAATGCCTCTACTGCGGCCATCACTTCACTATTGTCCTCAAATTTGTTGCCCCGGAGGTGTTCTTTGAGCCGAGGAAAGAGGTAGAAGTCACTGGGAGCTAGATCTGGCGAATAGGGAGGGTGTTCGAGCAGTTCGAACCCCGTTTCTTCAATGGCAGCCATCGCAACTGCGGCTTTGTGAGCCGGGCGTTGTCTTGGTGAAACAGCACTCCAGCGCGCAGTTTACCGCATCTTTTTGACTTAATAGCTTCTCGCAATCTTCTTATTTGGCCTGCCTTGTAAGAGCCTGTTATAGTGGCCCCCTTTGCCAAATATTCAACCATAATAACTCCTTCTGCATCCCAGAAAACAGACGCCATAACCTTTCCCGCTGAACTTGACACTTTAAATTTCTTCGGCGTTGGTGAGGAAGCTCGTTTCCAAGTCATTGATTGTTGTTTGGTTTCGGGATCAAAGTGGTGGATCCAGGTCTCGTCCATGGTCACAAAACGTGACAAAAAAATTCTTTATCGGCCTGGAACTTTTGAAGATTCACCCTCGAAATGTCGACTCGTTTCTTTTTTTGCTCGTCGGTTAACATTCTCGGTACCCAACGCGCAGAGACCTTTTTCATATGCATTTTGTTGACAATGATTTTTTGAACGCAGCCATAGGAGATCCCTGTGACCTCAGCTACATGCCTTACGGTTACCCTTCGATCGGCCAACACGATATCTTCCACTTTTTTGACGTTTTCTCCAGTAAGGGACGTGGAAGGGCGTCCCTCGCGATGTTCATCTTCAGTGGAGGTTGCCCAGCTTAAATTCCTTTGCCCAGCGTGCGACTGTGGAATATGGAGGAGCAGACTCCCCCAATGTTTCCTCTAAGTCGCTGTGTATGTCTTTGGTAGACATTTTTTTCAGGCAGAGGTACTTGATGACAGCTCTTATTTCATTTTTCTCCATTTTGATGTTTTCTCTTCGACAGTTCGTATTCAAATGAATGTATCTCCCGGTAATGGTGTCCTATTTATACATTTTTTTGAAGCTGAAGTAGTGGATATATAAGCAAGCAGAAAAAAAATAATTTGGGTTTTTGTGCGTTCTAGAAATACTCGATTATCATTACTTATTGATCACCCCTCGTAAAAAACTACGTTACCTGGCCGGTTCTTGAGTTGTTTCGGGTAAGTCGGAGGTTTCCACACTTTCGGCTTCGCCTAAATTGTTGCCTGCCGTCCGGAATTGTTGGTATACGCGATAGTATTCTTTGCTGTCTAAACTCTGGGCCACTTTGTACTTTAGTTGTTTCTAAAAGTTACATTTAAAAACTAATGTCAATTAATTACCGTACATACGCCGAAATAAAATTGTTGTACACTTTATACAATTAGGTCTTTGGACAAAGGCACGAGATAAATAATTTATTACTAGATATTTTGAGACATAGTACGATAGGATCGAACTCACGTTGTCTGGGTCGTCGAGATCGGGTCGGTACGGGTACTGCAGGTAGAAGAGATGGTTCCGGCGCAACATCTTGCGCATTCTCGAGGGCCCTTCGGTGCTGTCGAGGGCCCACTTGTCGAGCGCGCTGGCGCGCGGCGGGCCCCACAGCGCGCGCTCCCGCGTGAGCTCGCGCCACGCGCCCGCCCACTCCGCCTGCACGTAGCGCGACGTGTGCGCGCGCGTGTTGGACGCGCCCGCCACCGACGCGCACCACGCTTGCCTGTCCCATCATATTACACAACAGCCATACACAACTACCGAAACGATATCGAAAATAGGAGGTTTCGGTAACAATGAAAAAAAATGCCAATATTATTCGAAGAAAAAATAACGTCACTACGTTAAAACATAATGAGACTTTAAAGTTGCGCTACGGAGAAGGTGTCCTAGAGCGATCCTATTAATAACTAGTAATGGCGTAAGTTATTTATTATTTTTGGCACATACGTTAACTAGATTCGTTTAAATAAGTTTATGACAGATTGAACTGTATAACAAAATCGTAATGCATTTTTTGAACGAAGACCAAACTGTACATTAATTATTTGTGTCGAATACGTACCTAACTAGTTGTACATGATCCTGCATATAAGCAAGAGCGTGATCTCGTGGCGGATTGGGTCGCTGTTTAGCCGAGTCTTCCTTCTTTACTTTAGTTCTAGATGCAAGTCGCGTCAAACCGCCGGTTACCTTTTGAATTTTGGACTGAATCTGGTTGTGTAGCTCCCATGGCACGCGATATGTGGCCTTTAAGGGTTAAACATTAGTACTCACTCTAGTCTTCAATATCATTTCAAATTGTTAGCTCAACAGTCAATCAACGATACCACACATGAAGCCGACTCGATTATTCTTTTTTCTCTTTCTATTAGAAGTTATAATCGATTTAAAAAAAAATACTAAACTATTTTATCAGCTTAATAAATTATTTTATCAGCGTCAGCATCCTTACTTCTCTCTCTATCAATATTATAAATGCGAAATGCAACTAAGTAGTTATAACGACAGAAGAAATTTTTTGGTACAAATTTAAAAATTTACAATTTCGATCAATCATTATGCAGTAGATTTTTTTTCATCGTTGCATATTAGAAAAAGTACGTTTTTTATTTTGTAAAACAATAATTTAATCTAAACTAATACGAGATCAGTTATTAGCAAATAGCAAATAAATAAAGAACTACAACTCTTACAATTATTTTATACTTAGTGAGTGGTTGTAAACTATTTATTACTATTGACAATATAGTGAAAACATATAATAATATTGTTATAACTCACCTTTCGCTCAGTATCAATGTAATTAATCCACAATTTATGAGCACTCTCGCTGAGTTGTTCCCTCACAGCCCCGAGGTCGGGCGCCCGCGCGTTCCCTACGGGCAGCACTAGCGTTATTTTGAATACCTCCTCTATAGCCGGCTTTTTACAAACGTATAACTCTTCCCACACGCGGCGAGCAGCACCAGCCATCAGGTTACGTCCTAAGGATAAATTTAAAGAACATTACATAATATTATTTTTTTTGTCTCAAAAAAAGTCAATCTATTAAAAACTATTTGATCAAACTGTGAGTTGTATAAAAAGTTTTTTTCTTTGGTAATATGTGAATATGTTACAAAAATAGAAACCAAAACATAAAAACTAAAACTTTAAGAAATAAAAACAATTCATTAATACCTTGGTGTGTAGTAAGTCTATCATCCCGGGATTCCAAATCACCGCTAGGGTTAACATGCCAGGTAGTTCGCATGTGCGAATCCAGTGCAATTTTCATGTTGGAGCTCAATTGCAGCAAGCAATAAGTTAAGCATCCAATGAACTCAAGCTCGTGGTTGCCAGCTCCAAATATCAGTAACCTAAAAACAATTATTATTATCGATACGCACCTTATCAAATAACTCTAATTGGCATAAAATTAAAGTAGAAAAACAGTGATGATCATACCTATTGGTTGTCAGTTTATGTAAAGCCTCCAAAACGGACATTTGATCGGCGATTGAGTCTGTTGACCGTGATAGAAGGAATAATATAGTTCGATTCAAACAATGGTGCAACCCTTCTAAAGATATCACCGATGATTTTTTTTTCGCCTGCGTTATTAGTTTTACTATGAAGTCAAATACCTAAAAAATAGAACATATTAAGTGCACATGTGTGCAATATTTAAATTAATCCTGCTTTAGCGTCAGTCCTGTTTCACGTGGATATCCGTATGACTTCTTCCCGTATGATAGCCATAGACTAAAATACTGGTTACAAAGGACTAGAATACTACGCGAATTTGCAGAACTTTATAAACTTTAATTAGTCAGAGGAAACCTTTTTGTAGAAAGTGTCTCGTTATGTATTTAATAACTATGGTACTTGCTAGTGTTAAACAAATTTATGACGTACTTCGTGAGGATCTCGTGATAGTTGCCCCTGCCATAACTTATCTACCAATCTGGCAGCTAAGTAACAGACATTGGATATATTAGGTTCCGATCCAAAGAGCTCCGTATTCAGTAAATTCTCCATGAGTGTTGTGAGAACGTCAGTTTGGTATTCGATCTGTTGTTGACTTGTTGAGTTTTGAGGTGATGCGTCTAAAACCAGATCGATAACCTAAAAAGATGAATTTAAAGTTATAGGTTTAAAAAGGATTTTTTAAGATGACTTGACCTGTGCAACGAAAAAAAATATATTACAAAGCTCTTACTAATCAGTCTTGCATTGCGTTTTGTAATATTCGAGTGCATTATTATATTATTCTAATTATCACCAGGGTCGTCAAATTAGTGCTTGTTACATTATGCTAGAGTGAATATTATAATAAAGACAAGCGTGCACATAGAAGATCGAACAAAGCTCAGTCAAATTATTTTTTATTACTTGTAGCATGTATAACAAAGAAATTAAATCTGCCACGTGCAAGTGTAAATGACGTAAACTTTCTTGTACATTTTACATAATGGTCATTTTATTTTGCTTCAAAGTTATGACTAAAATTTTAAAATTAAGACACCAACAGGTGCGGAGTTTCATTTTGATCTTTAGAAATATAAACTAAAATTATATAGACATTACTGATTTTTTTTAAAGGTCAACAGTGCAAGGAGGATTTCGTAGAAGTTGACTTATTACTTCAGCATGATCGATAATTATAAAAATATACTTTTTATCGTTCCGAAATGTGACTATCGACTAAAAATAATCGAATTGTTTTAGGATTTTTTTAAACTAGAGAACAACCTTTCAAACACAAAGACTTGCTGGGCAATATTTATTTGATTTTTAGCTATTATAATTATTTTATGAGAACCTTTTATATCATATTTATCTTACAAATCTGTCAACTGTCCTGGACGAGTAACAGTTTTGAATTCTACTCTGAAGTTAAAACATTTCATTCAGAATTCAGATGCGTAATTTGAGTTGTATACGAAGGTCGAAATATTTGTTAATATAGCAGCGTTAGTTACTTTTATTAGTTAAAGGTTTAATAGTAATAAAATTCCCCATATTTACGCAATAAAAGTAGGATTTCCCTGGAGCGGAGCAAGGACTACATGGAGTACAAAACATTGACGATGGCACAGTGTCAGTTGCACATTCCGCGTTCTAGAAACAACATTGTAGCTAATACTTAGTGAATTAGTCTTTTCAGACCATTGCTGGTTGTGTGAACATACTACTGTTAATTATGGTAAAAAACTGTGTCATGCTAAATACTTAGAATGTTATGCAACGCCTAAACGTTTAAAGCAATAAAGACAATGTACATATAATTAAACGGATTCAGCAAAATCTAACACAGGGACAACACATTTCTTAACTTAACTATTTATATTTTTTCCTTTAATGTCCTTACGAAAGAGCCAAACTCCAAGAGTTACTTCTGTATCTGTGTTTCAATACAATATACATACATAATATAATATAGTGATCCCAAAAAAGCTTCAATAAACATTGATTACATAAATAATCTTTCTGTATAGAGGACTCCGTAACGGTTATTAGTGTTGTGTAAGGATAGTATCAGTGGTATTGTTATGTACCAATTTGCATGTGCGCGTTATAACTATGACCTACCCACCCATTTAGTGCGTGGCTCTTGGCAAAATCCTATGTTAACTAAAACTTATTCAATATCAATTACTTAATCAAGCTATTGTACTATAACACTTACAGCTCAGAAGTCAAACGTTTATAAAACATGCGACATTTTTAGATCTTTTGGAGCGAGACACATTTTACAAATATCTAAAAGTACACGATTGTCAAAATATTTTTTGTGTATCTTTGTTAGTATACCTTTGTCTACACTATAAGAACTTGAATTAGATATTTGATTTGACTCATTTCAATATTCCATAACGTAATTTTATGACTGGGGACATACCGGAGCTGTTTTCCCAGTGACGTTGAGAGGCAGCGAATCTAGAACGATAACTCGCAGAAAATCCATGACCCCCTGTCGTACTGGGTGTTGCGTGAGTGCGCATGACACGTTACCGGTGCCAATCACTACTTCCTTCTCTGATCCTGGTGTAGACGCGCCCGAACTTTCCCCCGACTCACATATTGCTGTTCGATAAACGTTACATTGTATCATATCGTTAAATGTATATGCAGGGAGGGCGTCAATTAAAAGTAAGTACTTACGCATATGAATATCGTCTTGTGAGTTTGGTGGAAATAGTATTGCAGCTAATGATGTCAAAACTTCTGCAGTCATCATAATCGGTACGAAATCGGGCAGCGTATTGTACAAGGAGAATAAAACCTGCAAGGGAAACGATATTGATAAAGATATTGATAATCTAGTAAGGTAGTCAGATCTCGTAAAGGCGAGACGTATTTGAAAGCACCAGTGTTTCCACTGCTTTAAGAGAGTTTATGGTCACACGCTGCTAGTAGGCCCACCGAGGTATAGAAACAATCATACCTGTACAATGGCAACGGGATGGTCCACGAGCCAATCCGGCACGGCCGACTTGTCCGTGTGCACGAGCGCGCGGACTAAAGCGAGTAGCACGACCACGGCGTCGGGACACAGGGTGATCCTGGCGGACAGCGCCGCCGGCGACTGGCGCGCAGGGGCCGCGGCGCCCCACGCCGCGCCCCACACGCGCTCCACGGACACCACGCGCTCGCTGCACGACACGCGCATGGGCTGCCCGAGGGCCAGTCCGAACAGAAGGTAGTATAGCTCTGGGATCGTTAGGTGTGCCGGTGTCAGCCTGAAATATATCCATACCATTTTGTATAATATGGGGCAACGGGCAAGTTTTCTGTGAGGCTGCGGTCGAGCCGGCCCGTTTATACCGAAGCGTGGCTTCCCCACGACCACGACGGCTTATGATAAACTATCGCTTTATAATGGTGCAGAATCCTGGTTAGTTATATTTATCAAATATCGACGACAACTCGTAAATTCGTTATCGAGAGAAAACAATAGTATGTATACCTTCATATTTTAACAGAATATTAAACTGAGTCTTAACGCATCTTATACCGAGGTATCTGCGTCTATACTCAGATTCCTAGGTATAAAATTGTTTCAATACAGTGTTTTATTAATATATAAACGAAGCAAATCAATATACTTCTTGACACCGGACCGATGAAAGTATAAATGAATAATCTCTTACCATGCCATTAGGGTGAATCCAGAAGTGTGCAACAGTGAAGTGTGAAGGTGTGAATTAGAATGCACGGTGGTAGAGAGCACGACGCCTGTTTGCTGAGACTGCGCAATTATTTCTGTGTGCCTCAACCAGCCGCCATTACCGACGCCTTCACGAAACCTTAGTACAAAATTTAAACAATTACTATAAGCAAAATGTGTTTACTATGATACATTTACATGTATTTCTATACGGTCAAAAAAGTAACTATCATTGCGCTCACGTTGTGCCTTGCACTCTTTAACACAAACAGTATACTATTGATTAATATTTTACATGTGCAAAATAATTATTTATTTTTGACTTTGATGTACTTTCCTAAAGTAATTGATTATAAGATAATATTTCGAACATCTGACAACTACGCAATCTAGTTTCAAACTAAGCAGAGCTTGTACTATGAAATACTGATAGTATACTTATATACTTTTGTTTTGTAAATACATACATATTATAAATAGAAAACACGCAAATAACGAAACAAATATTTGAATATCATACAAATATTTAGATCCGACCAGGGACTCGAACCTGACACCTCAGTACAGCAGTCACATCGCTACCACTACACCTCATGTTTATCTTGTATATGTACTCTTTTTAACCCGTTTGGCCAGTGTGCTATAGTGGGCCAAAACCTCCTTTCTAAGAAGAGGCATATGTCTAGCAGTGGACTGATGATGATGATGTCCTCTTTTACTAAACTTATATATATATTTAAAACTTACCTTTGCATTATAGTTGATTGTTGACCTTGACCAGAACACAAGACGACTAATATCCTGAGAGCCCAGAGGACTGTGGAAGGGTGAACATTCTCCAACATAAAACTTAGCAGCCAATCCATGCCCAACACTTTTGATATTTCTTCACACACGATAGTATTCACTAAGTTTCTCGCCGTAAAAAGTAGTCCATGTAATACATTAAAGCATTTATTGCGTAGAATTATTTGTTCACCTTCGCCTTCTTTCTCGCTATCATTCTCTCTAAGGCACACTCCTTTCTCTGTTTGCGAAGGCAGAGGCAAAGTGAAAGCCATAAATTGTCCTAAACATAGCAAGTCACTCGGTCGCGGCTGTCCTCCGAGTAAAGCTGCGAGTAATTGGATGAGAACGTTTCTTGTGCTTACGACTTTGACGTCATTGATAATATTGAGAAGTTTTGAGACTAGCTGCAGATCTCTCATTGTGCGTAAGTTGTGCGTTCTGTGTGCTGTCTCTGTCGCCAGTTCCAATAAATGTTCGAGAAGAGATTTTATTAATCCACCTGGAGCGCCGAGCCATACTTCTAATTCACAAATTAAATCCTAAAATAAATTTAAATGTTTAGTATTGTAGATTCGCTCACCGCATAAAAAAAACTAACGTAAAATATCTCGCAATACAATTATCTGTTACAATTGCCTTTTATATTAGGGTAACAAAGGACACGTTTACCTGAAACGCAGTTAAATTAGGAATAGAAGAAGTTTCCTTTTGACTATCAACGGTTCCGACAAGACCAAATATAAGATGGAGTATGTGTGAATTGAGCAATTGCTTTTTCCTCTTCAGTAACATGGCTAACGTTTGATATCCTTTACGCCGGTCCATTTCTGCTTGGGCCGCCTTGTTAGATCGCACTACACATACGAGCGCCTTCACGCTAGCGTATAAGCATTCTACATCTTGAGACATGGCTATTAATCCCAATAATACTGAACATCCGCCAACTGTGTCAATCTGAAAAAAGAAATAAAAAAGTAGTGTTTTGATTTTGATATTATTGTTACGGTTGTCTCAGTTAAGAAGCGTGGCGCCATCTGTAATCGAGTTGCAGAACTAATCGAGTTAGTAAATGTTTGAAAATTTCAGAATTTTCCACAATGTCCTCTAAGTTTCTTAGAGCAAAGAAACCTCTTGAACGTTGTAGTGTATAAATTTATTTAAAAAAATACCCGCCGCGAATAGCGTAAATGCAAAATGGTTACGTGCTGATTTTTGTGTTATAGCGATTAATTTAGTGAAATTGCGTCGACATATTTGATAGAACTCAGCGTATTAACAATCCCGGCTTATAAGTACTTCTATTCATTTATGTGTTTATTCTCTGTTTGTAAAGTAGCTCTTGAAAACAGAGATTTATGTGTCATTCTGGTTAGCAATTTGCATTACTTACCATTATCGCAGCAGGTTTAGGACAAAATACTCTAACGCCTAAATAGCCAACAACAGTACCACCCAAACATCGTGCGGGTCCTATCAGGTGTCCGGCAGAATTGTGTAATATCCTAATAGGCGTAGCATTTTCATGAGAAGACATTCCAAGCATCTTAGCAATAGCTTTGTTATCATTCTTGCTATACACCTTCCGTATTTTGGCTAATGTTAATTGTGACATAGCACGTGCATTGATGCCGAATACAACTTTTTCTTCAGCGACTAAAGGGGCAAGAGGCTCCTGGTACTGTCCGGGAGGCAGGGGAGCTTGTAGAGTACCAACATAGTGGGGACCAAGTTGGTACATTATTGACACTGTTTGCGCTGGCAATACCTGAAAAGATGACATGATGCACTAAATAAATGATAAAGAAATTTGTTACATTGTTAAATTCTTTATACAAATAGGGCAAGTACAATAGTATTATAAATTACATAATAAGTTTGTGAGCTTGACGTTCTGCTGTGTTACTGACGAGTTTTAGTGATATTTTGATATAACTATATATGACCTATGTACCCATAAAACGGTAGTCTATATAATGACAGTTCAAGTTATACCGGTCATGTCATACAAGATTAAAAACTTAAGGAGTAATGGTTCTCTTGTACAATTAAAAAAAAAAATGTCGAAGTTTCATAATTTACGAAACAATAAAAATGTTCAACTAGAGTCTTAGTCCCATGACATAACATTGCCTGCTTGCCTGATTCTGGGCTGGCACTTTGATTTTTTAGTTTGATAGTCAGGAAAATACATACATCTTCCAGCAATAAGGCAGGTCCCTGCCGCCATACTAGTTTGGAATATCTCCTCCAATGAGGTGGTGTCCCAAGTACGCAGTACACACTTGAGGCTCCGGAAAGTGTCGCTGCACCTCCACCAGGATTGGCACTGACGTAGTGCAATTTGCCCGAATGCATATGCTGACCTAAAGACACATGAGCATTTATGTATTTGGCTGTAAGTAATGTTTTAGAGGTCATTTCTAAAATGTTACATGTCTATATTTTTCTGGTGAGTGTTTTCCATTTACGTTTTACATAAGTGTCACTGTTCACTTAGTATGCATCCAAAATTGCTAATTTTAAGTCTGACAACACACTGAAAATTTTACACAATGTTCCAGAACAACACTTATCTTTAGTTTACTAGAAATTTTTGTCAATATATGATATTACATAATGTGAACTAATATAACCTTTTTCATGTTGTTAGGGTTGGATAATTTTTTTGAGTTGTTTAAAAGAGAGCCATTTGTGCTGTTGGTAAATGTATCACATCAGGATCGAAATAAGACTAAGAACTTACCATCTAAATATAAGGAGAACGACGAATTTTTCAGCACAGCACGATTGAGAACAAGCACCAAATGGTGCCACTGCCCTTCGTGTTGCAAATCCGGGCACCAAACCCGCGCTCCGCATTCGCCTGATCCTTCCGGCTCCCACTCACCTACATCTAGGGAAATACAATCTATAGCCACATACTTTGCGAACTTTACAGTTGTTCATTGCAAAATAAAAATAAAATCAATAATTATTTCTTTTAGAAGTGTCTACAGTACAGATAACTCAATGTATTTGGTATTATAATGCGAAACTTCATCAACAGCCTTTAACAGTCCACTGATAGACAGAGGCCTCTCCTTAGAAAGCAGATTTTGGCCTACTATACCACGCTGGCCAGACGGGTTCGTATAGGGTTTGTTTCAAGTTTTCCTTCTCTTTTCAGTGCTGTTGTCCTGCGCGGTTTGCTCCCTTAGTCGTCTCTTACGACACCCACGGGATGAACAGGGGTGGTGACACTCCGTATTCTTAATCCGTCACCACACGGACAATGCGAAACTTAGTTTGTTCATTTCTTTGTTACGCTTTTACGGCTTAAATACTCAGTTAGTTATCATTAAATTACGCGCACATGTTATCAGGGGATTAGGAGGTATGGAAAGCTTTTAGCCAGATCAAATTCCTGTTTCTGAGAGATAGAAATACCTTTAACGAAAGAGAAATTACACAGAAAAGCTAGTGAAAATGTAAGTAACATTGTTGGCGAGGGTGGAATATTATTTATAATTTTAAGTTATGAAAGGGTTTACACACAAATATTTTGCTATAAATATGCTTTGTGCTTGAAATAGTTGCAGTACCTATTTTTTAACATTATTTTTTATTTAATGTAGAAGCACTAGTGTAAATCATGACGAACTGTACAAATCCTTCAAAGCGGCGAGTATGAGAGGTCTGATTCATGCTAAATAAGCGAGGGCTATATCAGGATCATCGCAAATGGATTACTATCGTTTCCGCTTACCACGGATGAAAATGAGGCGTGAGATTGAGTAATGATGTACAAGTGAAAGATTTTTGGATGATAATTCTCATAGAGAAAGTGAATGGCAAGAACAACTTTCGATAGAAACGTGGAATAAATCATCGTATAGGGTATAGACTTACTGTGTGGAACTAGCGTTTCTTGTGTAGAAACAATGATCGCTTTGTCCCTCGCAGACAGCACCACTGTCAAACAAACGAGATGTTCGTCGCGACTGTTGTTAATGTTCCTCACGAGGGTCAGTAGTCGTACGCAGTGTGGATCCGAACGTGGGTCCGAATACTTCTCCACGCATATCCAAGTGGAATATGTTAGACCGGTTTGTGGAGGGAATACTCTATCACCTGCAACAATCGTTAGATTTCTATAAAATAAGGAAACTTACGTATTTACAGCTGTGTAGTAATAAACAATGTTATTTTTGTAACCTGGGGTAATCTTTAGTTTGTAACAATCTAATATACACTTTGAATAACTTTTAATACCTCAGACCAGCTTGACCAGACTCTTGCACCAGTGTAATCCAATACAACACTTGCAAACCATATTATTCCAACATTAAACTCTACAATTCATCTTGGTTTCGATCTTTAGTCAGTTGGGGAGAGGTTTTCTATGTATGTAAATAAATGTTACCTGAACCAATGCCACCCAAGGTAGCATTGTCTTGAGTTCCCAGTGCGTTTAAATTGGCGGACTGCGGTGCGATGCTAGGCAGGTAAAGGCAACCAAAGCCTTCAGCTGACATATCAAACTCAACGAACGGAGGTAAGGTGCAGGAATTTTGAGACCTAGGAAAGATAAATAAAATTAGCAAAACAACGAACTTGAAATTTTATTTTAACAAAAATGTGGTAAAAACGAAATGATACTATTATTAATATTTATTATTTGAGACGTCTATTCCTTAGGCACTATCAAATTTTGCTACGATATAAAGGCGGATATTTATGTTAGAACAAAATCAAAATCATATAAACATATTTTTCACGAGTATTATATAGTATAATACGATCATGTTTTTATAGGGCTGGTAACCTACTCTACTATACCTGTAATCCCGTGGTGTAGTCATAGACACTAAAGTCTTGATCCTTGTTAGCGGCACCGGCCCCCCCGATTTGCAAACTTGTCCTGGTTCTGGTGCTAAACAGTTCAAAGGGTTGCCCATTCGTAGGAATTCCCTATATAAATAGATTTAGTTAGTAAAATTTGCTATAGTAGCCACATTTGGCAATATATTTTTGCAACGATTTTATAATAATATACAACAATGTAATAATATATAAATGTATAGTTCTCAATTTACGTTTAAAGCTTTAATACCTAAAAATGGAGAAAATAGACTTGACAGTTTAGTTTTCTTTAAATTTAAAAACATGTTTAAATTAAAGCTTCGTTACGTAAACTCAAAAACATAAAATGTTTTTATTTCATTTTCCAATTAATACTAATATGTGATTGATTATAATTTAAACTGAATACTACATATTGCTTAAAAAGATAGCCGTCTGCACTTCTAATAAATACATTAGCATTCCAAAATTCATATTATTATTGCTGGTGTGCATATTGTACGCGTATGTGTAAGTCTTCTCGTAAATGATATTTTCTGTGTTTGCTAACTATTTTTTACAGTACTCCAGAAAAATAAATTAGTGTATCAAATTTTCTGGGGTACTGTGAGAAATATCGCAATCTCAATATTATCAATCTCAAAATTTAATAAAAATGTTTTATGTGTACAAGCTATAACTTATTTATTAGATTTATAACATACACATGACAATTTAACAAAGGGGTTAGCACAATTAGCGCCTAGTAAGCAATACAGTGGTAGAGTAAAAAAAACTACATCTGTTAAGTGTTATTGTTTAGATAATGTTGACAGTGATCTGTTAAAGATAGCTGTACCTATATAAGAGGTATTGAAACGAATATGACTCAATAGTACCAATACTCACGTATTTCATTACAAACAATAAATTAATTTTCAATGTGAGATAAAATAACTCTCCGGACAGGATTAGTACCAGTGACAGTATTGGTTGTGGGCTCCGATTTCCGTATTTAGACTGGATAGTGGTCCTTTATGCGTCTAGAAGAGGTTGGCTAGGTAAGCCAACTAAGCTCCTTCCAGAAGCGCAGTAGCCTCCTGGGGCGTACACTGGCTTCTAGTAGCGATTTTGTACTAAGTATGGTACTTGCCCGTTGTGTGGCCATTCCCTCGCATTCAAATCTATTATTTGATATTTATTCAAGAATACGCTACGTAAATACCCAAAAATATATGTATAAATCATAAAACGCGAATTAACTATGTGCTACAGTTACCATTTTAATGTTTCAATTTACAAGTCTTATATTCGTTAAAGATGATGATGAATTGTATATTGTGTATTGTAAACATACGTTTACAGTTTAATATATGTAAGGAGATAGATAATTCAATTAGGGAGACCATTATAAGTGAACGATAATGTACGACAAATATTTTGCATAAAGAGTATTTACGTAACGTTGTTGTACTTCTGACTCAGGATAATATTAATATTATGTAATATTTTTGTACTTTTATCGACCGAGAGAATTTCTTCTTATTTAATTAATTTTATAAATTAATTAAATTTTATTTTAAAAAATACGATTTTTATTATTTTTACTAATCTTCTTAATATATATAAGGAATATATCCAGTGGGAGGCTTTACAGACATACACGAAACGGACACAAAACACACACATACAAAACACACAGCTATAAACGGTCGTCGTGAAAATACCTTTCAGGTCAAAAACATTATTGTAATAAATATTTTAAAGAAAAGAAACCAAATAAAACATAAAGTCACGCTAAAATTTATAAATTAAAATCCCAGACATGTTAAAATAAATGTATAAATGTAAGAACACTGAGAGCCGTGAGTGTAACAGACCTGAGGTCGGCGGGGCGCAGCGCGTGCGCGGCGAGCCGCTCGAGCATGTACATGTTGGGCGCGTGCAGCGGGTGGCGCTCGGCCCGCAGCGCCGCGCCGCACACGCGCAGCACCACGCCCGCCAGCCCCGCCGAGCACATCACTTGCTGGTTGCGTTCGCTGCAATCAATATTTGCCTACTGTACTCCGATAGCCAAATAAATGAAAATTCGTTATTCGTTATTAGTGTTAGACTTAAATCGCACTTGCGGTTAGCCACACTACGGTGTGCCGTTGCGGCTCTCCACAGCATATACAGTCAGCCGCAATGGCACGCCGCATTCTGGCTAACCGCAAGTGCGTTTTAAGCCTTATGTTCAAAGAATTGCTAACGCGTGTGTACTCTATGAGAAATAACTTTTATGTAAAAGTTTTTGGTGTTAAATGTAGAAAACGAGAACGCACTTTTTTCTTGATGCCTGCGCTACTACTCGATTTATCTGTTGCTTTAGTATTATATGAAATGCATAGTCGACTGATTATTCTAAATATACCTTCTAACTAAGCTCTTCAGTACGTGCGCTAAATAATCACGAATAGCCCTCGCATAGGCCTCGTGCTCCGGCAGTCTCGGCAAGGCAGGTAGAAGTTTCGCCAACACGATGACGACACCCGAGTGAATCACCCACGCCTCACCGTTATTACTTCCCACTGATAGGTTCAGGGGCGCCGTGCGACCAGCCGGTTTTGACTGCGCGTAAATAGAATACAAATTATTCACATATCGTACACATAAAATACGTAAAATGAATATTTTGCTGTATCTTACTTCATTAATCGCAGAACTTTGTCGTGTCAAACTGGGAGATTTCACATTGAGAGATCCGCAAAAGGTTGGCTTGTCGAATGAGTCCAACGCGACGTCGTACAACAGACGTAAAATTATACACGCGTGGACGAATACTACTGGCACTTTTTCTGGGAACCTGGAATGAATTAATATTAAACGAATACACATAACTAACTAAAAGTGCGAATGTGTTCATATTAGAAACTATAAAATTCTTGTAAGGATGTTGGAAGCTTTAATTAGGTATGTGCGTACTAATGGAAGGGCGACTGATATTCATCACTTAGGCTTGTAGTTGTATATAATGTAACACTATAGAATACCAAAAACACAGGTGAAATCGTAGGCCAAAACTAATGGTAATGTAGTTCTAAAAACTTACGTCATCTCCAATATATTTCCAGTAAATATTTCATGAAAGACTTCATAGAGTTCTGTGTCGCCTGGTTCAGTATCATTTTGTAATTCTGTATCTTCTACGAAGCAGCCTAACAGGCGTATTGTGTTACAAAGAGTTGTCATACATATCTGAAAGAAATGCGTTTTTTTTAAAGCAAATCATTTGTTTTAGAAAGTTAAAGAACCTCAATAAGGTTCAACATAATTCAACGTTTTTTTCTACTATTGTGGTCTCAGGTATGTTAATACAACCAGCTTAACAAAATATTATTCTTCAATCTTATTAATTATTTATGTTTGTAATAAATTAAGAAATTTAACCTTTATTAGTGCAAGTGCTTCTGAACAAATCATAAAAATAGAAAAAAAAACAAACAAAGTATCTATGCTTTGCATAAACGCATGAAGAAAAAAATATGCTATAAAACCTAATAGAATCCGCAGCGGATTGATAATTAATTAAATACTTATTATTTTCAATTATTACGATATATATTTTTTATAATTGTGAATTCTGCTTCGACATTTCTGCTTCCACTCGATTACATCTAAACCAAATTAATGGTATATAAAATACGTTGTGCGAAATGTTTTATATCGCCATCATATTTACCTCATGGTGAAAGAATTTTGCATTAGCTGGTTCAAATCTCATCGCCGTGCTAATCGTATAGAACACAATATGTATCAGTTGTAACATATCTTTATCCATTGGCTCATTCCCTTTTAGTTTGCCTTCCAATGAAAGTAGTACACTAGTGACATACACGAAACCGCTCACCTGTAAAAATGAGTAACATGTCACGAACTGATTTAACTAAACCATATAATGATGTCATATGAACTAATATAAAGAAATAAAATGAAATGTGTGAGCTATGTAACCTATGTACGGAATATGAAAAATGTATGATATTATTTAAAGAGACCATGGTTTCTTCAAAGGGCTGTTAGTACATAGATTACCTTTCTAAATATAGTTCTAGTACGATGTGAGTCCCGTAAGCAAGCCAATAATGCTTTGAGTATATGTAGTTTTAGTTTTAGAGCATCATTAGGAGCAGCGTGCATGCCGCAAAGCAACGCCGACATATCCTCTTCGCCTGAACCACTCACAATCAGTTCCCTTATTACACCTGAAACACGACGCTTTATAAAAATAATGATATTTATTTATATTTATAACGAAAACAACAACATTACTAATACGTGATACAGAGTTATACGTGGCCGTTACTTGAAAACTGCGATATGAGTAAGTACCTACGCTGCAATTTGCGCTGGTGGAATTTTACAATTCCTTTAAAACCATATCTCAAATTCATAAATATTTAGCATATTTACAATTTCCAGTAATTACAGTAGAATCCCGATTATCCGGATCAATTAAAACCAGGGGTATTCCGTATAATCGAAAATCCGGATAACCGATTTCAAAGCAAATCAAATAATATTTAAGTTCTAATAATTTTTTATTATTTAATGGGTTTTACTTAGATAATACGATATATAAAAAACGAGCTATAACGATAGATAATTAATTACATAATACCTATGTAATTTAAAATTTTGGTTGGAAATAACTTGTGATAGATTTTTGACGTAATGAATCACATCTTTTTCTCGCAGCCAAGTCCCTGATGCGCTTCAGTTATAACATGTGTATGGGATCCGATTCGTCCTGTCTTTCAAACCACTTGAAAGCAACATCTAGAGCTTCAAAAGCTTCTGCGTGAGATGGTACTTGACATACATCCCCAGTTTCAGTCTCTTCTTCATCTTCTCTCTCGTTACTGTTTAAATCCTCAATGATTTCTTCATCAGTTAATATTTGGAATCCAGGGTCTTCACTATCGCAGTTCAGCCACTCCATAATATTCTCTTCATCGCACCCGTCGCCAATGCTAAGAATTTTCATTGCTTCGGTTATTTCTTTAAAATCGTCGTGCGGTTTAATTGAAGAATCAGATACAGTTAATTTTAATAATTTATTCTATGCCCTTTTTAATGTTTGCAATTCCACAGAATTCCACGCTTCTACCAGCATATAACAACAATCTTTTAAATTAATTTCTTTAAAAAACTTTAACAACGTTTCTATTCCACTGTCGTCTGCTGATAAAAGACGACGCAGTAGCTGCTTTCTGTATAAACGTTTTAAAGTTTCAATGACACTTTGGTCCATAGGTTGCAATATCGATGTAACGTTAGGGGGCAAAAACTTAACCGTGAACTTCCCATTTTCTCGATTTAGTGTTTCAGCGGAAGGATGCGTTGGCGTTGGATTATCTAATAACAACAATACATCGCCCTCTTTTCCCACGTCCTTTTGAAATTTCTTCACCTCAGGAATAAACGTATTTTCATACCAAGTAAGAAAAATATCTGTGTTCATCCACGCTTTTTGTTGGTTAGCGTAAGTTAAGGGTATTTTAACATTTTTGAAACAGCGTGGATTTTTTGATTTACCAATAAGTAGCAGTGGCAATCGATGTGTTCCTTTAGCGTTTGCGCAAACCATAACTGTAACTCTGTCCTTACTCACTTTGTGCCCCGGTGCTGCATTTTCACGTCGCGATGCTAATGATCTGCTTGGTAGAGCTTTCCAATTAAGACCTGTTTCGTCCGCATTGTATACAAAATCTAAATCGTATTTTTTTTCATCTAGAAATTCTTTTAACTCGTCTACAAAAGAGTCGGCTGATGCAACGTTAGCAGACAGTTTTTCTCCTTGAATCTCCAGTTCTCGAATTCCATGTCTGGATTTGAATCTTGCTAACCATCCACAGCTCGCCTTGAAAGAAGTATCACCACCAAGTTTTTGATTAAAATCCAATGCTTTTTCACATAACAGAGGTCCAGATATGGGCTGACCGCATGCTCTCTTTTGTAAGAACCAAGTAAAAACTGCATTCTCCAGAATTTCATTTTGAGATTTTTTCATGACTTTACGTTGCGAACTTCCATCTTCTTGCTCAAGCGCACAGGTGAATTTCATTATGCAATCAGAATTCTTTTTAATGTCTGATATCGTAGAAGTTCCGACACCATATGTTTGTGCCAACTTACTGCCAGATTCACCATTTTTTATACTCTCAATTATCTTCATTTTGTCTTTAAGAGACAACACTACTCTTTTTCGCTTGGACATTTTAAATTTCCAACACAAAACGTAAACAAAAATAAAAGACAACCTTTTAGTTGAACGCTATCAAAGAAAATGAAACAATAACAAACACTATCCCGCAAACAAATGAGAGCGGGAGTACACCGTTGGAGGCGGGAATAAACTTGTCGTAACATGTCTCGTTGCGCCGTCAAAACATTTTTAAATTAATACATAATTAGAGCCGAGACGAATGAGTCCGGATAATCGGATATTCGGATAATCGATGTTCGGATAATCGGGATTCTACTGTATTTGTGTAATTAAACATAACAGGTGTTAAACTAAGTAGATATTGAAACAACTGCAAAACAGTTTCGATTGTTTGGGTCGTATTTAAACTATATTCTGATACATAGATAAACCACAACAGCCATATGGTTGATTCTAAAGTATACAGATGGTTTTTACATTGTTTTCAAATTATTTTTACAACTCATTTTATTTTTCGATATACAAACGATTACAAACAAATGTATTAATATAAAAACTTACCTAATGCTTTACTCCTACACGACTCGTAAACCACCATTCCATGTACACACTTCGCACCGCCGCAATCTCGAAACACATTGCAATTGTTGGTGTTTGCATTCAGCAAGGCCGTTAAACCCTCCATTACTAAAGAACCTAGTTCTTCTTCTTCAGTATCCAAATTCGGATCTCTTATTAACGAATCTGTTCTGGAAGATTGTCTTTTCTTTCTTTCAGGTGCTTTAGGAGAGTCATTGGGATCCTTTTCAGTCGATTCAGTATCGACTGTGGCCTCCCTTTTAGTAGTCTCGTCTTCAAATATCTGCTTGTCTTTTAAATATACAGCGTATCGGGAGAGACAAGTAACAAATACTTCTAACATGCCAACTTCCCTGTATACGTCTTTAAAAATTGCATTGTGTCTGTAAGAACACGAGATTTATGACACATTAGTAAGAATGCATTCTTAGACATATAACTGTATACACATTTAAACAAAAACTTACTTCAAAATGTTCAAGAGTGTCTTCATGCATAATATGCTGCATGTTCTGGACCTATTAGCCTTTAACAACAGCGACAAAGAAATCAACTCCTTACATGGCACAAAATTTAGCTGGAATACAATAAACTCCAACAACTCAAAAAACTTTTCTTGAATCTCGGCGTTTTTTATATATATCCTTTCAGAGAATTGACTTAGTGTGTTCTGATTTTCAAGAATGAAGTAATTGGCGTTATCAGCGTGATATACACTTGATATAGCATCAAGAATAGTGCAACATAACGCAGGGGAATTTGACTTCATGAAGACAGATTGCAACACCTGAAAATATATTTAAATACTTATAACTTACATTTAAATAGCAGAAACCGATTGCGATAAAAAAGCATATATAAACAGTGTTTTTTTTTCTTTTGACGAATCTTTAATCCTGCACTTTATTTCTAGACGATTTGCAAACAAAGCAACAAACACAAAACATATTCAGTGGTTTAGAAATAGGTTTCTTTTTTGTTTTCGTAATTTGCAACCTCATGTGTTGACCTCAGGCGGCGCGTTAACATCACACGTTACCGCTTTTACTACACTCTAATCGAACGAAATATGTTGATTATTGCGTCATCAGGATAATATATATTTTGATATATATTTGGATTGGATATTTATTTTGTTCAAAATTTGCATTTCTGTATTTTCGCACAATTTTTTATTTTTATTTTAACCGACGTAAATTGAACCGTGTTATCTTTTATTAAATTTTTTGTGATAAGCTTTATCACATATTGTAAATGATATATTTAAAAACTGTTTGATTCTAAATTTTCACGAGTTTTGTGGCGCGACCGTGATCATACGAATGTAATTTCTTGGGTCCGTGGATCCTTGCCCGCTCTTATTAAGTTTTGCTATGTATGTATTTACAAGAAAAAAGTAGCTATTTACCACTGCTCTAGACCTTCTTTACTTAACCAGGGTCTAGATGGCGCTGTTTAATATGTCTCGCACATTATAATTTGTTTATTTTAAGTCTATTTAAGTTTTTGTATAAAAATATGCGATGTTTATACGATATATATACATACACAAATGTATGCGAATTTTATGCTTAAAACCTTCTAAGACGCGGTGTAGAGATTTTTGTTGGATACTTCATAATATACAACATATTCTTAAAAATAGTAGAGCAGCTTTTTATACGTGTGTTAACTAACAATTTAAGAGATCCAATAGGTATTTTAACTACTACGTTGTTATTGACCTGGAAAGCTTGGACATTCCTAACTGCCTGGCCTGGTGTGGAAGGTTGTGGTAGCACAAATCCCTGAAGCTGGAATAGCTCAGTGTTTGCACGCGTCGGGCGCAGCTCAGAAAACCCGCAAGCACAAAGCGATGAGATCATTAGCACGAGGTTCCGAAGGGCTGCGCGCGCTTCTGTGCCGCTTACACGCTCTTCTTCCAATCTTTGAAATAAATTAGTACCTGATATTAATCACAATTATTATTATTTTTATTGATATTCCTTATATAGTTGTATATAAAATAAAAAAACATATACAATGGAACAGAACCTCCTCCTTTTTGAAGTCGGTAAAAAAATGGTAAACTACGTTAAAGGATGTCAAATAAAATAAACTAAAATAACATGTTTAAATGATTAACTACAATGAACAATGCTTACCCTGGTGTTAAATAATCAGGCACACCTTGTCTCTCATGTCTGTGATAAACAAAATAAAACATAAAAATAAACAAAAAAAATTGGAATACGTGCCGGTATAAAAATAAACATAATATCATGCTGAATACAAAATAATCGACATTACCCATATTATTTAACATGCATGTGCTGAAAATGTTAATATTTTTGTAAAAATATCATATATAAGACTTACTTCAGAAGAAATTCAGATAGAAATAAGTATCCTTGACAAGAACGGAAATCATCCAATAATAATTGACTAACTTCACTTGAGTCCTTAAGGAAACAAAACACTGCCACGAACATTTCTACAACCTAAAACCAAAACATATAAAAATATTTATTTACCTTTGTGTTTATGTAATGTTAATTATTATTTAATGTTATGCATGACAGTTACCTCAAGCGGTGTTAATTCAGGTATCCTTTGCATATTTTCTATGCAAAGTGCTACACAGCCTTTATCTGCAGATACAATAATTAATTAATGTATAATGTGATCAGAGTATAATATATGCAGAAACAAAACATAAAAAGAGATAACAAAATGACATGTAAAGTAATAAATTATACTATAATGATACTCACTATGTATGTACTGGACTACAGATTGTGTTAACCCATGTCTAGACAATGTCATCAGCACTTCAGCGGCTGATTTCCTCCACATAATGTTATGAGGAGCACACCACGACGTAATGGCCGAGAATAACAAACTGAGATCATCTTTCCTAGCCAATTCCTCACATGGGAATGGATGGCTACACAGTCTCACGAGTACCTAGATAAGGAAAAGTTGGGCGTTAAATATTACAGTGCAACCATTTTAGATATGTTAGAAAGTGAAGATTTTAATACACTAATTGTATTATGAGGTTTATGTATAATATTAAATTTGTTAATATGTTCATAAGTTCAAAAGTTGCCTGCGTGATGGCAATAGGTTTGCCACCAATTAAAAGAGTGGGACTACAACTTATTAGGTCTTGGTAGAAAATGCTTCTGTTTGCCCCTTTGGGGACATGGACGTGAGTGTAGGTATGTAAGTCACGTAAGGTTTTATCATATTGTAGTACAGTAGTGTCATTAATGTCCTTTATGGATTGTAAGTATTGTGTAACTTTTAGTATTTTGATTAAATACTGGAACTGATGATGATAGTGGTGTTCATAGTTTCTAACATGATATCAAACAAACTTTCCATATAAAAACAACTTATGGCATCAATTGTTTTTATTATATGCTTCAAGTATTTCAATTCATTCTCATAGATGGTTAAATAAGAACATGTAATAAAACATCTTTATTAGACATTTTATTTTATATGTATTAAACTATACATACCTGTACAAATATTTTTTGTAACAATATTCGCCTCTCTCTTGGTGTAAAATCACTGTTGCCATCTTGAACATCAGCTTCAGATTCAGGTATTTCAGGTAGATCAAAGAACAGGTACAAACACTTCACTAGTGTTGAAGGTATTGATGCAGTTGTCATGACCTAGATACCAACAGTTTCTTACATTAAAGCACTTACTTTAAAACACAATTTTAAAAAGAGCCTTGAATGAGTAGCAAGCAAACCATGGATAAAGATAAATTACACCATGAATTACAAATGTGATCATCACACAATTCTTAGTCCTGGGTGGGAATTGAACCCACAACCTCCAGCTTAGCAGTCAGGGTCCCTAACCACTACAGCAACAGGCCTGTAATATGATATTCATTGTCATTTACAAGTTACATGATATAAATACCTGTATTAAAGACTGGTCACCAGCAGCCAACAGATTTAATGTAGACAACAGCATCCATCCATTACTTGATTCCTCAGAATTCTCAATTTCAAGGAATTTTGCAATAGCACAACTAGCTGCCTCAGTGCTTTGATTACTGGCTCTTTTCCTTATTTCTGATACCATAAGCTTAGAGACTTGTTGACAAAATGATAAGATGTCCCAGAACTTTTCATTCATTTCACTTGAAGGGCTTGTGCCAAACACCTATGAATAAAGTAGGTAATTTAATATATTGAAACACAGATTTGTTGTTTCTCTTACTATCCTATACACATAGTTTAATGATGTGGAATTATCTTTTCTATTTTAATTAATAATATAATAATATTTTCGGACATCTAACACACAACACCATCTAGCTTTCTATGAAAGCTGGATTGACTGATTGAATAATTTTATACTTTTTTTTTGGAAATCCATCCTTATTACACATAGCAAACACCCAAACTCCGAAACAAATATTTGCAGATCGTAAATATTTGATCCGATCCCGAAATCAAACCCAAAACTTCAGCACAGCATTAATTTACACTACCACTGCACCACCGAAGCAGTCAAAATTATTGATTAAAAAATATTCTTGCTCCTATGTTGGCGTAACAACAAGTAAGTATTGGATATGTAAGCAATACCCAGCGCTTTAGATGGAAGTAAGTAATAAGTGAAGTGAGCGGAGCACTCCGAAACACCCTGTCACTCTGCAAATCATTACGCATTGTTTCATAGGAAAATCTAATTACAACACCTGTTTGTATTTACTCCATATATGCTACAAAGCTAAATATAGTCATAATGAAGTAAGGCATTAACTACTCCTTTATAAGAATTGGTTTACTATTTTCAAAGCTTCATATTATTACATCCACCACATACACTATCAACTCGACATGTTCGACTATCCAGACCATGTTTCTATGTATATCCAGACCAGCTATGAGGAAACATGGTCTGGATTTAACGATTTTTAGACAAATTCCAACAAGAAACAATTTATTGCATTATAATGAGAGATAAAAATATTCTGTATAACAGGCTGTGATTAATCAAGTACTACTTATTAGTATTAGAAAAACAGAATATAATAACAAATAGGATAAAACATAAGAATCCAACTGGCAGCAAATTACAATATTATTCACAATTGACACTATTCTGATTAATAAAAACATCTACTATGAATTTACCTTGCAAAACAGTGGTAGCATATTGTACAGTTTATCATCTTTTTCGGCATCTGTAAGAGGTTGAGGGGGATGCGTATACTCTGCGAAGAGTTTCTTTAGATGCATGAGGCCGAGTTGGACGTGTGACGAGGAGCTGGAGGCTTCGGCAGTCTCGGAAGAAGCCGAGGTAGCCGCCCCACGCAATTTGCGCATCAGGTTCATTATACAGTACGTACGTATAAGAATACGTAGTTAACACTTTTACGCTTTATAAGACATTTAATTGTTTTTTAATAAATAATAAAAACATGATCTGAAATAAAAATAAACATAGCCATTTAAAGAGTAAATTTGATCACCAACATCGTAATTTTGAAGCGTTTAATGTTAATTAAAAAAATACATGAGTAAATTATGGAAAACAGAATAAAAGATACAAAAGAAAATTATTTTCTTGATTTTCTTTCGGAATTGATTGATTATTTCTAATACTTTCGTCCGCCCACACTGCAAAGTGCTGGCATAGATTAAATATACACAATATACGATCTTTTGTATTCAAGTCAAACGACTCGAACTATTTATATTCTCAATAGTCTTACTGAAGAAAATAATCTTGGATCTAAATAGATAGAACCATGGACCACGACCACGATGCATCATTGTATCTTTAGAGTATAATTTAAAATCAAAATTTTCAAGTCAAATGAGATGTATTTTCATCGTATCTATTGCAGACTTGACCATTTTTTTGTGTTTTTCAGTTCTATTTTTTATGATCTACCTGAAGGCCAATTCTCACAACAAAAGTTCGGTCCCCTATCAAGTTCCTATCAACTTTCGATCAAACAATTGTCATAAAAGACAGTTTCGTAGTAAAATACTAAAGTTTAGTTTTCGGTTACAATACTATAAAATCACATTACAACCAACGTTGTATGTTTAATACTTTTATTACGAGAATTGGCCTTCAGGGCTACACTTACTGTTATTACTTGAGAATTGTAAAATCGTAAATGAGAGAAATACAAGAGAAGAACTTATTAACATTCCATTGCATTGTTTTGAGCTTTTAATGTAAACCGATAGAGATTTGATTAGACCATTGATAGTTGAAGAATTGTTGATTCGTTGATTTGAATTATGACACTAACGATACCATTACCTATCTGCTTCGTCCTTTCAGCGTTCATCGGTATATACATTATAATCTATGGTTCATCGCTTGCTATTCTGTGGTCCGTCCTTGCCGTCGTTTATGTTATGTCAGTTCCCTGTCAGCAACTACGAATTAAAAATAACTTGCTGTAAGCATATTTTCTTACGAATTGCGTTTCTTCACTTAAAATGCCAGAAAACAAGAATCTTGTTCAGTGTTATAATCGTGGTTGCGGACAATTATTTGATCCTAGTGATAATTCCAAAGGTAAGTTTCTAGACTTTTCCAGAACCCAGTTGTGGAAGGCAATTTTCTTTCTAATACTTTACACAGTAACACACATAATTTTGATTTGATTTTAAAGATGACTGCCTTCACCATCCTGGATCACCAATATTCCACGATGCTTACAAAGGATGGTCATGTTGTAATAAAAAGAGTGTTGATTTCACTGAATTCCTGAATATCAAGGGTTGCACTCGCTCAAATCACTCCAATGAGGTAAGTGCCTTTTTTTAAATTCAGATTTGCTTTGGTCATTGTTAGCCTGATTTGATTGTAATATAATTTTAGAGACCGCCGGAACCCGAGAAAAAGGCTCTTGATAAAGAGTTAGAAAACAAAGAAGTGATAGTAGTTAGAGCACCGGTGGTAGGTCCTCAACTACCTCGACCTCCATTTGAAACCCCTATGGTGACTTTGAAGCCAACAGTTGCCGACTCACTTAAACAAGCTGTTCAAAACTCATCACATCAAACCGCAGCTATTGATGAGAGGTATGCAACATAATGAACACCTTAATTTATAAGTGCAATGATTAATGTGATATTAAGATTACTTAAAGTTTAAATGTAGAAGTTTGTTAAAATTTTGTTTTATTTTTTAAAAATGTTACTAAAGTGTAAATTGAGTCATATGTTGTCCTGTTATGGTGTATGCAAGTTAAACTTATTCTGAGAAATGAATTTAGTTCATTCAAAACATAACATTAAAACTTCAACAGACCATTTCTGGTACATAAAATTTTATATTCCAATCTCTAATTCAATTAACTAGAAAATATGGATGTTTAAAGTATTCAAATCTCATAGATAAACATTTGGTTGGATTGATCAGTTCAACAATGTTATTGGTGATTGCACTGATCTTTATCTTAACTTACAAAACAATATTTTAAATAAAAATTTTAGTTTATGTCAATTTTTATTAATATATGTTGTGGCAATGTTATATTTTCATATATGAATATTGGCTGTTTGCTAACTCATATTCTCTGACTGCAGTTTTTTGTATGGTTGAAATCAATTTTTACTTCTGATTGTTATTTATAACACATATTATTAAATAAACTATATGTGTCATGAATAAGAATCTATTTAAAATTCTTATTAAATTCTTACAGAAACATTTAAAAATTTCAGTAAAATTGCCATTGGAACCACTTGCAAAAATGGAGGATGTAGTGCTACATATGAAGGTCATCATTCAAATGATGACATTTGCACCTACCACCCTGGCTCTCCTGTGTTTCATGAGGGACTGAAATTCTGGTCTTGTTGCCAAAAAAAAACCACAGATTTTAACACTTTCCTCAGCCAACCAGGTTGTACAACTGGCACACATAAATGGTTTAAAGAGGTGAACAAAATATTGTCTTATGCAGTGTTTACAGGCTTTAGTTAAAACAAAGTAAAGAGTAGTGAAGCCATTTATTAATTAATGCATCATTTTGTAATGTTTATTTCAGAAAAAATGAGTAGACACCTATTCAGTGCAGTAGGTGTCTACCTTTTGACATGAAATATCTAGCATTATTTTGTCTTTTAATTGTTTTATAAAGATTATACTATAGAGCTTTGTTAAAACAATATATTTGTATTTTAATGTTCATTAAATGAGTTAGGGATATTTTTAAGAAGGCTAAAAAAAAAACCCTTTTCTTTTTACAGGCTACACCTGCTGGTACTGTAAAATGCCGTTGGGACTGGCATCAAACATCTGAATTTATAATTGTTAGTGTATATGCCAAGAAGTATGATCCTACACAAAGTTTTGTTAAATTAAACCCTATACGTTTAAATACAAAGCTAGTATTCAGAGAACAAGGTGATGCTGCATTTGAATTGGATTTAGAACTGAGAGGTGTAAGTTATTTAATACATTTTAATGTGAAATCTGCTTTAAAACCATTTGCATACTTAGATTTGAGAAGAGAAATCTACCTGGAAGGACCATTTTCTTCTTCTACAGGTGTTGGTAGAAATAATTAAATTTTATGAGTAGTCAATTATATTCAGCCAGACAGTGTGTGTTGAATAAATTGTGTGGCGCGCGACGGCGCAGTTTTTGAACATGTTATTAGAACCCCCACTATTTTTTTATTGGTTATTACATAGAAAGCACTTATTGTCATTGTCTAAGCACAGAAAAAGCATTTTAATAGGCTAAAAAATGGTAGAAGAACCTTCTGAAAGTAGAAGTTATTGATGCAAAAATATGTTGAGTACTTCTATCTCCTGTTCTTGTATTTGTGATTCAAGACTTTTAGAATGTTTTATTGCAGGTGGTCAATATTGAAAGAAGTAGTGTATCAATGTTATCAACGAAAATAGAAGTTAAGTTAAAAAAAGCTGAACCTGGGGCATGGAGTAAATTAGACTTCCCTCGGACAGAACCTAAAAAGGAGGTAGCAAAACAACAAGAAATCCCAACACCATCAGAAGATGATTATGAAGATCTGTCAACTGTAGAAGCAATTGGAAAAGTAAATGTTACAGGCTGATGGTTATATAATTACAATTTGTTTTTGCAATTTGCTACCTTTCTACACAGCACTAATAATTTCCCAAGATAGGGATATTTTAACAATGGTACATGTGCATTTATTTTTAAATAAAATGTACTTTTACTACATTCTGATTGTTTTATTTTCAACACAAGGTAGTGCAATAAAACGACAGAGACAGCTGTTTGATTAAATCAAAACATTTATATAAGAGAAACATGCTATGAATTTTTTACATGTTTTGTAACGTTCTTAATATTATCTAATAATAATTTATAGTGCACAATATTAGATTTTTTTAATAAACTTATATATTAAAGAATAAAAATGTAACATTTACAAATTTATACAATGACTAGATGATGCACATAATAAGGTTTTAATATGGAGTTACACTTTTTTTGTTTGTTTTTAAAGGTTTCATATAGCATATGTACACGCGACGTAAAGTTATTATTCCTAAGTGTAGACGACAACGATGTTACACATTTACGATGTAATACATTTTATTAAGCCGTGTCTTAAGAAACTGAAATATGAAAACATGAGAAGTGATTCCACAATGCTACTATTTATTGTAAAAATTACGCTTTTTGTAACGTTTTTAAGTTGAAACAGTACAGTAAAAATAACTTTTTCGGCACAGCCGATTTGGACCATTTTTCGTAGGTTTGGAGTATATAAGACCTACTCCAAACCTACGAAAAATGGTCCAAATCGGCCGTGCCGAAAAAGTTATTTTTCCTTTTTTTTTTTACTAACAGTCAGGTAGGTAAGTAATTCGGAATTGCAACTTATCTTTAAAATAAATACTCTTACGTAGTATCGTAAAAAGTTATGTTGTTTTATTATGGATTGAAATTAAATATGCAGGTTAAGTTATGATTCTATCTACGTGCTAAATAATTGTCCTCAATAATTTACTATTATAAATGCAAATGTGAGTTGGCTTGTTCCCGAGTAATCTCAAGCAAAAGTAACCTGTCTGTTACATTTTTAAAGCTAACCGCTGAACTAATTTTGATGAATTATAGTTAAATAGGCGGAAATAAAGGAGGTGAAATAAGGAATAGTAGACCAAACATGCAGGGATTTTAGATTGTGGTAAGCCAAAGCTAGTACCTACAGATGTCGCTAAAATTCTTGACGGGAGATGGCTCTTCGACTAGCACTTCCGACAGCTTGCTCCAAAGCTGGTCGGCGCTGCTTCTGCCCTAGGGCGACTGTTGCCCAATTTGGGTGGAGCAACGGCGCGACAAGACGGCTGTACACGTGGGTTGTCAAGTCAATGGCACTGTACGGTGCTCCGGTGTGGGCGGCGACCCAGAATAGGGCACGCCTCTGGCGCCCTCAGAGGATATTGGCGGTTAGAGCCTTACGCGATTACCGCACAGTGTCAACGGAGGCGGCGGGCGCGTTGGACCGGAACAACCCTGTGGGATTTGGTGGCGGAAGTGCTGACCGAAGTGTATCGGCGGACCGTTGAGTTCCGGGCGGATAGTGGCATTCGGCCCCCGCCCGAAAAGACACGCGAGTGTCGTGAGGCCGCCGAGCCACGATGGCTCGTTGCTCGTCCCGGCTGCAGGCCCCACGTGCGGGCTTCGCCACTGTGGAGGCGCTCCAGCCGGTCATCATCGAGTGGGTAGGGCAACAGCACGGGCCCCTCATCATCGTCAATCATGTCTCTAGTCTAGGGGTTTAAAAATTGTACTAGGGATTTCCTTTCTAGGTTACACCTGGCTTCCCGGCTATTGGTGCCTTGGATTCCGGCATAAGAAAAGGGGGGGTTAATCATTTCTCCGGGTCGTCATCCCAAAGGGTTTTGCAATGCAGTGATGTTTCGGAATTGACCCGACTAAAACTAAACAGCTGTTTTTAAGACATCCGAACTCAATTCAATACCATAGTTCAGGGTTCTCCAAACTGGACAGAGATGCTTGAGGGTCTCGATCATGAGTCGGCCGCGGTGTGACGAAAGCTCCGCTCGTCGGTCTCCTCTTTCAGAGACTCTCCAGCCCAACTTCCTGCAGGAAGTGGTTGAGGGTCTCTTCCCACAATGGGTGGAATACATAGCCCCGTGATTGGCCTCCTTGGCCAAAAACGACGGGAATAACATGGATGATCAGTACATTCCCCGTAAATTAAGATTTAACATTTATTTATTCATATTACCTTAAATACATTATTTCTGATCGAAATTTCTGATGGTAGTACAAAAACTAGCTAACAACAATTACAAAGAAAACAAAATAAAATCATAAAAATACTATTTCAATTACCGTATTTAACACCGACCGGCAATGTTTACAAAAATGAAATTAAACAATGAATATTAAACAACTTTACACCTACAGAGGTACTGTGTCTACTAATCAGGAAAATTCTAAGTAAAACTATTTACACTAACTTATCATTTGTAAAAAAACTGACATTAGCAAATGTAGCACTCGTCGAGCAAGTTACTTGTTCTGCCAAAAAAATAAGAACCAATCATGAAAAAAAAAACTTTAGAAGGTATCCAAATTTATAACAGTCTACCATCACATTTAAGAAATGTTAGCACATTTAGCCTTTTTAAAACCAGATGATCTCATTATATTATAAACAACCGCTTGCTTCTCACTCAAAAGATATTTTTATTTCTTTGTAACTTCAATAATAATTGTAATTTCACTAAATATCAAAATGTTCCAGGCGTGGGTGAAACTGTTATTTTTAATTTAAAATAGTTCTTATGTAAATGGAATAATATACGTGTCTTTTTGAGGATTAATTCTTTAAAACTATATTGTTCTACACGTCACGGATGCTGAGGTAGGGGCGGTTGTTCTACGGATCCGTTCCAAGAATACTGCCCCTGGACCAGATCGGATACTTGCCCGAGTGCTGCCTAGTCCTGTAACCCATGTCACACCCCCTTAGGGAGGTTTTTAATGCTAGCTTGGCGTTCCTGAGTGCTAGAAGCTGGTCTTGTTAAAGAAGCCGGGACAGCTTGCCAATTCGGTCGCTGTCTACAATCGCATTGTGTTACCGGACAAGGCGGGTAAATTATTTGAGAGGGTTCTCTGCCTGCATCGTCTGGCACCTCTGCCAGGTGGGCACCTATCTGTCAGGCGGGCAATTTGGTTTTCGAGCGGGGCGTTCGGTGATCGGCGCTGTGCGAATCGTGACCGTAGAGACAGTGAGCCGTAGCGGCGTGCTGTTAGCGGTGATCGCCATTCAGCTTCATCAGGGAGAGGCACTCCACTATCACAGGGTGCCAGAGAACCTGAGGTGGCAGACTATTTACAGGGACGTACCGTCATGTACGACCCTAGTGGATATCTGAGGCGCCGGCTCTTGACGTGCAGTATTCCACAAGGGTCTATTCTTGGAACCCTCCTGTGGAACATAGGGCCTTCGAGGAGACTTCCCCCGCGGGCTGACCGTGATTTGTTACACCAATGACAGCCCGGGTAAGGGTACGGGGGACAGTACGAGAAGCGAACTTTTAAAAGGCGGCGCGTCTGGCCACCAGAGGTATCTCTCTGGTAGTCGGGCGCATTTTTTTTTAAATTGACATGTCCCACACTAGGAATATATTGTGTCGCGGGGGATTACAGATATGTATGCAACGGACACAGAACACCCAGACTCAGAACAACGATGTATGAATGACACAAAGTCTTGTCCCATGTGGGAATCGTAGCCACAACACTCAACACAGTAGGAAGCGTCGAGGTGACTGAGGCCCTCTTATTTCATTTTATGGGCCCGTCGTGGTCCACACCCTGTCGCCTCAATCGTGATCATCTCTATCCTCGTACCGGTTTAGGCCCTGATTAACGGGAAGTGGCTCTTCAGCAAGCAATTCCGACGGTTTGCTCTAAAACTGGTCGGCGCTGCGTTTGCCCTTTGGCTACCCTTGGCCCAATTTGGGTGGACCAAGCGTCGCGACAAGACGGCCCTATACGGTGCACTGGTGCGGACGGTGACTAACCGCCCAGAGTAGGGCGCGCCTCTGGCGCCCTCAGAAGCTATTGACTTCTGGGCAAGCAAGCGGAAGACGGCCCATGCCCGAAGGCTTTACGCCACTCGCCTACCACGCTACGCTGATCGGCTGGAGTTTCCACGTGCTGGCTTTGCCGCCGTAGAGGCGCTCCAGCCTGTCATCATCGAGTAGGTAGGGCGTCAGCATAGAACCCTTTCCTTTCGATTGACGCAGGTCCATTCCGCGCACGGCTGCTTCGGGAAGTACCTGCACTCGGTCACTAGGAGTGAATTGAATAGTTTGCCGCCTGGGCAATTTGCCCAGCTCGGGTCCTCATTGCAGTCATCAGAGAGGATCTCTCGCTGCTGGCCGTAATACGCGACATGGCTGGTAGAGACTGATGTTTCATCGCTGTCGCATCCTTCTGCGAAAATTTAATAATTCCTAATTCGTCGCCAGCGAACCGGGTGATGGAGGCGCGTATTCCAAGGCCTTATGCCGCCCTGAGTGATGATTAGTAAAAAACTTAGTCAAAATCACTAATTTACATTTGTAAATAATATTTTTAAAATCCAGGTATATTTCACGAAGCGTTTAGTAATTTTTACTAAAACCGCACTTTAGCTATGGTCATAAGTTTAGCTGACTTTTAAAAAGTTGATAACAGTTGATTTAGGAAAACATATAAGTAGATATATTTATACAGAACAATATTATAAACAAAAAAGCAGAATGTTGTGTTTCTAACTATCGAAAAGTGAAGAATGTAATAAGTCTAAGCTAATTCAGACATAGTAATTACCATTAAATATTCAGAGTCAAACTGCCACAATAGACGCGTACCTTTTACATCGCATCGTTGCGATTTCTCATACTACTCCTTTGGCGTAATATTGTAATATATTTAATATAATTTATTTTACCATTTTCTTCTAAAGTTAACACATTTATTTTTGAATGAAAAATAAATCAAACTCAATATAAGTAGGTAGGTACATATCTACACACTATCATGAATATACGGACTTTGTCAGTAAAAGATAAAAATGTTAGACTGTTTATGAATCCACCGACATACACATGTGGCACTTATATCTAATAAGTACAATAAAGAGAACACGGTGGTCCGAACAACCGTATATATAAAGTGGTTAACCACTTTATATATATAGGTACCTATTTATTTTAACTATAACAATAGACTAAATGATAGAATTTAGTTAGATTGAACCGATCTACACATTTTGTTGGCAGTGCATGATCTATGGTGATGAGCAGTGTTCCGTGGTGTGAGTACTTGTAGTTACAGAGGGCGCGTGGAACGCAGGAGTAGGCGCTGGTTGCATGCGGTACATGTCATGAAGAAGCGTTGCCACCGATACGTCACCCACAGTATCGCGAAACAGAAGTAGTTCGATCGAACGCGAACGTACGGCACGAAGTGACGGTAGTAGTAGCAGAAGACGGCCAAACCTGCGCAAATTATAGGGATTAGTAAATTTTAGATTTTATTAGTTTGGAATAACACTAGCAGTGTCTAAAGAACACGCAGCACCTCCAAAATACTAGTACGTTGTTGATTATGATATCCTATAATGTTCAGGTTACTCACCACAATACCCAATAGCCTCAGTTATTGAAGCTTTCGTCTTTTTCTGTAGGGGGAAGTGGGGCAGATTCATACAAGGGGCACCGTCATACACTAGATACATCTGTTGTTAGGCGCATATCAACTGAACGACTTATCCGTGTACGCGTAGCTAACTTATGTGTGTATTGGCTCACGGAGTTTGACAACAGTCGGTGGGAAATTCGCGATGAGGTGACATGGAACGTGATTCGGCCACGCGTAAGTAATTTTAAAACCTCACTTTAAACATCTTTTTTTAAAGCTTTTTTCTAGATTTTTCAGTACTATTTTATTCAAAAAGTAATAGGATCAAGTTTGTAAATTGATACGTGAATAATGATATTTATAGTTGATTTATTTTTAGGAATATTTTTATTTCATTTTCTTGTGATGGGGTTGGTTCATACAGCAGCAGGCGGGGTACATTCATACTGTATGAATGTGCCTCACATTTTTATTTCTTCCTGATCCTAGAGAATATACTGCAAACACAATTTAAATGCCGATCGGATTTTCAACAACGACGAATCTGGTATTTCTACTGTTCTGAGCACACTAAAAATTTTTGATGACAAGAGCCAAAAACAGGTTGGTCAAATAGTGTCTGTCGAAAGAGGATAACTGATCACATTTGGTGGTATTATTTCAGCAAGTTGAAACACCATACCACCCTTATTCATCTTCCCTCGAGTACATTTTAAGGACTACTTTATAAAAGATGCTCCAGAAGGCTCTTTAGGTGTAGCCACGAGAAGTGGTTGGATAAACTCGAGCATTTTTGTTGATGTTCTAAAGCACATTCAGGGGTACACCTTATGTTCGAAAGAAAATCCAATTTTCCTTATATATGACAACCATGAAAGTCAATGTGACTTTCATGGTTGTCATATTATGATGCAATCAACTACTGCCGTGACAATGGGATTGTGTGCCTTTCCTTTCCATCTCACACGACTTACCGTCTTCAAGCATTAGATGTTGGAGTATTTGGACCATTAAAGTCGAAATTACGAGTAAAAACAGCTTTCAATGACGCATGGCACGTTTCCAATCCAGGAAAAACACTTAATATTTATAATTAAAGAAATCAATAAAGACTGTTAGGTTAACTAACTTCCTTCAGTGTCATAAAAAGAAAAACTACCTACATTTATGTTATTCTCTTTTTACTTAGTATTATTTGGTTATTACTTAGTATTAGTTGCTCATATAGACTAATTGCTTTTGTTTTCGAGAACGTTGGGGTTTGATACTTTTGTTTTGATGAATAATTAAACTTTTCATGCTAAACTTGTGTATTTTTTTACATGTATGAATCTGCCCCATATCCTGTATGAGAGTGCCCCGCATGTGGGGTACATTCATACATTTTAATTATTTTTTAAAAACTTTTATTAAAAGTCGCACATGTGTATTTACACAAATTACATGTTCTTGAAATAAAGTCAGATAGTTAAACTACTAGTTTTTGATGAATCCATACAGATATTGATACCAGAGTAAATTCTATAACACGAAATATAAAAAATGTATGAGGCTGCCCCACCTTCCCCTACTGCGTTCACATAAGACAATAATTTTTGGGATTCATGAAATGTTATTTAGATTTTTTCCTTTATTTAATTATACCTACTTACTTAATTGTTTACTTAGATAGGCCATAATGGCCATAAAAGTCTAAATTTAACACATCGTAATTTTTAGTAATGGGTTTAATAGGTACTTAGTTATTTCAGTACCTAAACGTACCTCGTAGGTTGCCTGGTATATCTAGTTCGCACGTAGTCAGCAAGAATGCACTGAGCTTGATCTTGCAACATCTCTACTGGCTGTGTTTCACCCAGCCCGGGAGTATCTGCATCATATACAATATTGTTTTAAACAAGTTAAAAAGCTCGCAAGTACCTACTGTTCGTCATATTTCTTTTTATTATGGCGTTGTTAAACACACTGTTTGACAGGATATTTATAATATTTTTTTACGGTTCAATTTTACAATACTAACTTTTCTGCTTTATTCTTGTTTCTAATACCTAAACCAGAAAAATCGTCTCGTCACGAAATTGTTAAATGCAATGAACACCTGCAGGACTGATATTGAGATCATCTTATTTTGGTAAGATACCGCGGGCTCTATGCCTTTGAATGGATTCGAAGGGTGTCAATCCATAAACCACCTTGTGTCCCGATTTTCATGTCAAACTGTCTCAAACAGTAGCTATGTAGTAGACGTTCAAATTCATAGGTACAAATGAACTAACCAGGTGAAAATAGTACGATCGCTTTCATGCACCCACACTCGCTGCCATCTGGTGCTATTTGGCGAAATCGGCATAAAATTTCCTGCAAAGTAATATTATATTAGATACCTATTAATCTCCGTATTGTTAAAGAATTGACAAAAAATAAGCAAGGACTGATGACCAAAAGAATCATTTGGATAAGCAGAAATTTATTTCCCAAGTAAAAAAAAAAAAAAAGTAGTTAATATTAATTTTAAAAAAGTATAAAAAAAGCGTGGGGTGCTTTTTACTATTGACAACAGGCACCTAACGCTTTTTTTTAAATTTATTTTCTATTTTTTAGTTTGGTTTTCTATAGAAAGCGTGTTTTTTAGTTTTTTAAAAGTATATTTTTTTTTTTACATTAGTGTATTGTCATCGGTCCTCGATATATCTACAAAGTTTGAATGAATTCTGACCGTTTAAAGTCAGTCAAAATCACGCCCAAAGGAGTCGGTTACAAACATACAAACAAACATACAAGTGAAGCTAATATAAAGCGCGTAAAAATATAATAAAGATTCCATGTACATAATTAATAGGTAATATTTTTGTAAACAGAATCAAAGAGTACCTGCAAAGTATTTAATTCTAAATCTGCCAATGGATCAGGAGGTAGACGCGCCCTTGCGGCAGGCGCAGCAAGCAGAGGCGTCAGATCCCACGGAGCAGACCACTGCGCCAAATGCAATAAAAAGAGATCTTTCCACGCAGCACGTAGAAGGACTAGTTGGTCTGCAGCCGCTAGGGCTTGAAACGGTGCTAAGCACCGCACCCAGCGCACGGCCATAAAGAGCAGACGAGCACTAGTTTCCTGAAAAATAGATGGGAATTAAAAAAAAGATGACAGTGGGAGAAACAAAATCCCCCTCGATATTACATAACATAACAAACTGGAGCAAAGAAGATGGTTCATAACAGTAAAAAAAAAAAATTATAAGTCCGTTATCTTGAAAATAGTTGGGTTTGGGAAATGGTATTTCACAGTGAAATCTATTAGTAATTATGGTTACCATAATCCCCTAAAGTATCTAGGTCGACTTAACCAGTAATCCTGTATAATTCAATTAAGAGCTTTATGTAGGTAAAAGAACAAAAACCATCCGTAGGTACATCCAGTCTAAGCTCAAAATTCTACGTTTTGACACTAACCAACAAATAGTAGGTACGTACTATTTTGCATCCAGCACTGTACATACATTGTTAAATTAAACGATGTCTCCAGTGACGTTACGCGTAAGGGCGATGGGCGGGGAAAGTCAAGTTGGCGATAAGTCACCCCGCGACCGTCCAATCGCGAGCTCGCACCCACCCCCAGTTAAAAAGCCACCTATCAAATGTCAATGTTTACACCCCTTCAAGATGACTTTGACTTTCGCTTCTGAAATACCTACTAAATAAGATGACATTTGTACTTACTCGTATACCTACCAATTCTGTACTGACCTTTTCATAGATTCAAGAAAAACGATTTAGCACCTTCATCAATCATCAACAGCCTATACTAGTCCACTGCTGGACATAGGCCTCTCCTTGGAAAGGAGGTTTTGGCCTACTATACCACGCTGGCCAGACGGGTTGGTATAGGGTTTGTTTCAAGTTTTCCTTCTCTTTGCAGTGCTGTTGTCCTGCTTAGTTTGCTCCCTTAGTCGGCTCTTACGACACCCACGGGATGAATTGGGGTGGTGACAATTTGTATTCTTAATCCGTCACCACGCGGACATAGTCATAAACTACATAGTCATAATAAAATAATTATAAAAATGATTATTTTCTCCTCAATATTGTAAATACAGTACAGAAATATGTAAAATTTTATTCCGTCAATCACAAATACGAATTTCAAAATACAGATTTTCATGATTCCGAATGGTGCAAAATGCCGAATATAACAAGTCCGATTTATCATTGAACCCGTTTTTATTATTCAAAATGTTTCAATACTTCTAACGTTTATAATTCCTATGCTCAAAATACCGAGTTGCAATTGATAGAATACTTAACAAAAATTCTGACTTATTGATAATTCGAAACACCTAAAATTTACGAGTTACCAACTATAGTGCGGATCTGGTGATTTAATGGTCACAGTTCTAACCTAACCTGACTCAAATGATTCACGAATAATAGAGAGTATCTGGCGTTAATCGCCTCAGTTCTAACCGAACCCAAAGAATTCAATAACAAGAGATGATACGCGACGCAGATATAATAAGGAGAAGAAGAAAACACAAAACAACAGTAACAGTAACAAAGTAGACGTTTTTAAATTCGATTAAACGTTACATTAAACTAAATATTATACTAACTGAATCAGGAATGGAATCGTATTTTTAGCAATTTATGGTCGTAAGTCGTAAATGCGATTTGTTTTCCGACTTTTATACGTTCGAAGAACCAAACTGCTGATAAACTTATTTTTTAACCGACATAAAAAAAGAATGAGGTTCTCAATTCGGCAGTATATTTTTTCATGTTTACTTACTTCAGAACTCCATTATTTTTGAAACGATTGGGAAAATTATTCGCAATTAGATCAGGATCACTCCTCACAAGAGCAGCACGTCCGTCAATTGTAAGGAAAGTACAAACAGTAGAGTACTTTCAACAGTTTATACCCACCATAAAGAAAAATGAAGTGCCTATTGTATAGATTTAAACTAAAACTATAACCTACCTATTTACCTTTCAAATAAAGTTATATGCATACTCTTAACAGTAAACTTTTATTTCTGCATATTTAGGTTCTACAATTAAAAAACACTCACTTGCAACAATTCCCATGTAGGAGCCAGCGGTGCTCCAAATGCGCTGGGCGGTGGTCGTAACAAGGTCGGATCACCTTGTAATTGCAGTTGTTTAGCGCTCCACATCAGCTCCTGGGCGGAGAATATAACAATGATACTTACATCTAACTGCAATAATACCTATAACTGGAACTTGTTACTTAAAGCATTTTAGGAGGCAATGGACGAAGGAGGTAGACCCCTTTGATTGCTATTGTGCTATTTTTTTCTACGCTTGGGTGTTGAGTCTTTTGCTTTAACATTGTGTTTAAAGAAGTTTATTGGAATTTTGAAAAAAAAACAATCTCTCTCAATCTGCCTTTTGTTCCTTGGCTCGGGTGTTTTACCACTGTAAAGTTTATTCTTATAATATATTACAATATATTATAATAAGCAGCAACTATAAAATAGTAGTACATGATCTGCTTCAGATTGTTAGTCAAACAACGTGGTGTTGTTGCAGGTACTGGTACGAGTACGGTAAGCTCACGAAGACATCAGTTGAACTGAAATTACATTCTATGACTTTTGTGGTAGCGGTGGTGGTTTTTATTTCGTGTGTTCCTTCTCTCTGCAGTGCTGTAGTCCTGCGTAGTTTGCTTCCTTAGTGAAATACATAATACTTACTAAAATACATAATAGAACTAAATAACACCGGCCACTGCAATTTAGGTGGGCAGAATTAGATGTTTAGTAGTCTGTATCCAACCTGGCATTTATCCGTAGACATCAATATATGCAAGAGGCCTGGTGGTGGCGGCGCCAGGAATGGGTCCGGTATAAGCGGCAGTGGGCTTGATGCTCCTGGTCCACCGGCACCGCTTGATCCAGCCGATGACGCTGTGCTGAGTGGAGCTGGCTCACTCAATCCAGTTATATTGAACTAATTAGTAAGAAAAAAAGAAGGTGTACATTCTTCCCGCTACCGCTAATAACATTTTATTATATTGTAGATTTATATATTAGAACAAGAAACAGCCCCATGGTTGATTGGTTATCGAAAGCATCATAAATCCATATCCATAATGGTTGCTGTCGCTCTAGTGTGGTGATGATCCGTGAGGGCTTCAACAGTTAAAAGAATACTAATTTAAAAATAAGGTAAGATTAGGTACTCACCTGAAAATTGAATGGTTGTGGCAGTGGTGTGTAGGGCGAAGGTGGAGACAGTTTCAGGGGATGAGGCTTGTGTGCATGGTTGAGCTGTGGTGGGGGCAGCACTCCCATAACGCCAGCCTGCAGTTTTGGTTTGCGAGGACCTCGCTCATGCTGCACCGCTGCGAGAAGAACTGAGATATTAGAATTTTGTAAGAAAATTGTCAAAAAAAGCGTATTTTATTGTTAATAAAAAAAAGGTTGACTGTTTTTACATATTTCCTTTTGCGAAAAATAACATACTACAAACACACTAACATACTACGTTGTAATAAGACTATCCTTGTAAAAAATAAGTAAATAGAATAATCAGTCCAGAAAACCAGTTTGGCCCTGAGCTCATGTACAGAGTTGTCCTGAAAAGAGTTTATTTTGCTATTATACTTTATCACGTTAAAAAGACAATAATAATACTAGATAAATAGTGCAAGTTGTTAGTGAAATCTGATATTCGGATATTGTAACCATGGGTAGATCATATGGAGTAATAAAATAAACAATAAATTTCAATATATTTTCATACACGGCCGTCTGATCCCAAACTAGGCAGAGCCTGTACTATGGTAACCAGACTGCTGATAAACATACATATATTAACTTTTAAACTTTCGCGTTCCATGATAATTAATATTATTTTAACGGGAATTAACGCGATCTCTTATTTAGGGTATTACATACCTCTGGTTTGCCTGACGTTTCGACCAGGTTGCACCGGCCGTGGTCACAGTCAAACAATTCCCGTTAAAATAATATTAATTAACATTCATATATATTTTTAAATAGATACATATTATAGATAAATTACACCCAGACACAGAACAAATGACCACAATATTTGTCCTGGGTGGGAATCGAACCCACGACCTCCGGTTTAGCAGTCAGGGTCACTAACCACTAAACCAACAGGCCTAATATAAAAAATGAAACTATATTACTAATTCGGACTTTTACTAAAAAATAGGGACTTGTTAGCCAGCTACCTTATTTTCGGTATACAAGTTATATTTATGTAGGTGTAAGTTTTTTGTCAGTGACCATAATTTTCAGACACCATAGTTTACAGCTGTATATGATAATACAAGGCCAACTACAAAGTATTTAAAGAGGCATCCGTATTCATATAACGATTAGTATCAATGGCATGTCTTTAGTCGCCAGGCATACCTAAAATACTCCCTAAATTGTTGTGTAGTTGAAGGTCTAATACCAAGTGCTATCAACTATTGCCTAGTACTTGTGTTGTGGAGGTCTGATGGCAGTCGCTCCAGGTAAAAAATCGAAGTTCAGCCGTATCGTAGTAGACTTAAAGCCGACCCCAAACTAGTTTGCGAAAAAGGCTCGGAGGAAGAAAAGATTATTAATCAATTATATTATACACGAATCGCACGAGTTATTTTCATATTTATTAGACCGACTAGACGTGTCCAGAGTCGAGTCAATGACAAAGACCATCAGTGTGCGTGTAAATGGTTAGTTGTTTTACACGTGGGATTATATAGCCATGAACCGCTTAAACGATGGCGATCCCTCAGTAAGCCGGGATCACTCGGCGACTACCTTTGTGTTAATGTGAAGTGAGGGTCGCGTCGCAATGGTTAAACAGTCATTGTTTCATATTTATTTAATATTAGTAATTGGTAATAATAATATTAGTAATACTATTTACTAATACTCAATTCATATTAAGAAATCGCGATTTTCTAAGCTGATTCAATCCAATAACGCGTAAGTTAACTATGTCTTTTTAAAATATTGTCTAATACGTCGCTATACACAAAAGAACATAAAGAAACTCCACTAACAAAATTACAGTTTGTATTCCCAAATAGGAAATATAAATTGATAATCATTTCTGAAAAAAGGGCTTCAAAAAATATGGTCCAAAAAAAAATTGCTGTCGAAATGGACGATTTCACTTTTACTGTAAGGGTCATCTTAGCACTCCTTCTCTTCAGATCTTTTTTTATAGTATAGGAACTCAGGAGTAACAAGCGCGTTGCTGCCCTTTAAGTAATTTCTTAGGGGAGCCTAGTAACAGGTATTGGGCGCCGAGATTTGGACAGCCCCGCATTTTCCAGAACGCAACTCTAGACAGCCCAAAATATCGAGTTAACAGGTACATGGAACAAAACCATAATAAACAAGTCTATTGATTTGAAATATACTAAGAAAATTATAAATTAATACAGTTCCATTGTGCATGTGGCCTGTGTAGGGATGACGTCATGCAATCAGCTTACCGGGACTGAGTCCATGAGAATGCGGCTATTGTGTCCGCACATGTCGGCGCATACGCTGGCGTTCCCGAGCCGCCCGTGCCGCTACGAGAACCGTGCCTCTGTGATTACTACGTACGCCATTACTACGAATGCCTACAGTCTACAGCTTAACCGTGTATTGACGTTCAACGCACTCTTTGTTTCGCATTACGTACAGTTTAAAGCAGATATTCAGTAAGAAGTTGAAATATTAATGAATTTAGAGTGGCTTTAGAAAGGGAGTTAGTGTCTGTCACAATTCCGTCACGACTTTCCAGTTTTAGGAGAATGGGTATGTGTAGTAGTTATTACCGAGTTAAGTTAGATTAAGTCCATTTTATAGTGGTAAAGTTGCTTTCAAAATTCAGGTTAAGATCTTTTGAAACGAAGTAGGAGCGGACCGAAAAATGTGTAGCAAGACTTTTTGCCGACACTTCAGTTGGCGCGTCGACACTCACATCTTTTTCATATTTCATCAATATAGCAAACGTCTACCAAAAAGCGAAAGGAACTTCATTCCGACGGCATGAGGGATCTATGGAAGATCCCTTATGTCGTTTTATTGATAAAAGACATAATCTACTGCTATAGAAGAAATGCACTTAAAGACGTAAGTTTTAGAAGCCAGCCTTCCTAACTCACTTCTATGATACCTTTAAAATACTTTAAACCCGTCTTATTCTCAAGTTGTACCTACTCTATTGACAGGTAGGATACTTGAATCAAAAAGGACTTAAAGGAGATGGCACCACTATCTTCTGGTGTGTTTTGCATAGCACGAACTTTTAATCGTCAGATTTCTTTATTTGTTACGAGCTTTTTCCCGCTGCTCGGCCCGCGTGTATGTCGGTTATCGCGGTAAAATGTAGCCTACGTTACTCGCTGATAATGTAGTTTTCCATTGGTGTATTTTTTTTAAATATGGGTTTAGTGATTTAGGCGTGCAAGCGGAACAAACAAACTGACTTTCACATTTAAAATGTAAGTATGGATACGTATAATTTTATTCCGTTCCACGTAGTCATTATGAGAATAGACAGACACTTGAAAAGCCCCTAAGTCTTTACATGGAGTGCAGTGCAAATAGAATATTGTTGATTAATATTGAATTTTATGGAATTAAATTATGTACTGAACGTTAACAATACTGGCCTTAAATCGATTTCCTGTCTGCAAGAGTTTAAAATATTGCAATAAGGCTACCAATTCTATAATCCACCCAATATTGCACTCTTGAAATGGTGTACATTACAGAGGTATAATATCATTTTATTTGATGCAATATTGTATGTAGGTAGACACGTACAAATCTGTAATTACCTTTTTAATGACATATTTTGGTCTAAATTAGTGTACAAAAATAAAGAACACTTGTACGAGTATAAAAAAAATGTGCGTGTACGATAAGCGCGCAACTGATGCAAAGTTAACCTTTTGTTTATGGTGCACATGTAATCCCATATAGAACACGTGCTTTTTTTCTCTACGAGCACGAGTCCCCTTTTATTTATCAAAATACAACTTTATTCTTTTTACTTTAAGGTATAAAGTCATTGCTTATAGGTAATTTGGGGTCGTTTAAGCCAATGGCTCAGTTTCCAGCGTGACGCGGATAAGCGGGATTTTAATTAACGAAGGCGAAATGTGTAACAACTTTTCTGCGATTCGATGACTTTGATGCAATGCGGATTAGCGTGTCTTTAAACTTAATGGCTATTGTTTGCTTGAGTTAAAATATTATTTATTTGTATTTGGTTTTTTTAATAATAAGAGAGACTTGAAATACTAGCAAAAAGACCTTTTTTAATATTGTCAAAATTGTTATTCTCTCTATTTTTCTTAAAAAACTTATAAGTTATAGAGAATCAAAGGGTAAATTCCAGAAAAAAACATATTTACAAATTTTTTACTGTTCAGGTAATACCTACTTCTTAGGTACGTGATCGCGTTAATTTGCTTACCAAGACGCAATTAGGTATACAAATTTTTGTTTTAAAACAAAATATATTAGGGTTAAATATAAAAATTAATATCTATACTTTTGTTGTAATTTTAAGATACAGGGTGTTTTTGAATGAGCACTGTGTTGTTCCCCAAGAAAATTTTAAAACGTTAAAAGCCAGTTTCTAGTTAACAAAATCAATATTTTTCAGAATTATATTTCTGTGCTTGGAACCCAAATCATCTTTTATTTAGGTCATGTCATTTCATTTTCATTTATTTATTCAATTTCTTTCACAATGTAGTCTTAGACATAAAATAACAAGAGATAGCTATCGGCTTATTACGCGTGTAATATTGAGAAGGACCGTCTTCTGGCATAAATCCTATAATTTTTATGAAAATGTTATTGAGATTTGAAATACAGAAAATGAGTGTTAGCTTTCAAATTCATGAAATTGCTACAAATTTTTCCTATGATCAAGCTGGCGTCTAAGAATAAGAAGTATCAGAATGCTTCACATTTAATTTTTCATCATTTTGGTTGGTATGAGTCGATCGACCTGGGCCCATGTTGCCACAAGTACCTGTAAAATATCTTAAGGAATGACGAGTAGCATGCAAAAGAACACTACTTTCCAAGGCACTACAAATACTCTTTTAAGTCTTCTCTCCCATATTTCAAAATGAATTAAAACCATAATGTACTGTGTAGTGCATGTTAAGAAAGACCTTTCTACTACAAATTGATAAAATGAAAATCTAACTACAATATTTATTTTTATTAATATGATTGATCTTAAAACTACAAATATCAGATTAAGGCCTTAAGTAATTCATATCTAACTACACAAAATGTATCCACTTCGATTTGTTGAACAGATATTAAACTCAAAAGAAGTTAAGGCTACGTCGCTTAAGCTCGCATAAAAGGCATTCAGTGAATCACATTTGAAACGTTTAAAAGGGAGATTTAACTTCAAACATATATCGCAAGCCCCTCGCTCCGTCGAATTGAAAGCAAACACAACATGTTTTTCAAAAAGGTAGTTGTTACAAAAAGTACGTATTTGTTGTTTATTACCCGCGAGGCATTGGCGATTCAACGTCAATTACATTCACTATATATGTTTTCAAATATAGCCGGCGGTAATCAATGTGTGCTTGCCATAGATAGTTAATATGCTAAATATAGTCGTTAGCTAGTGGTTAAAATACAGTAAAAACAATATATTTTTTCACTCTTCCCTCCGCAAAAAACACACCGAGTTTAATGATTTTTTTTTAATTTGTTTTTGCATATACATATATAGTTACATTTTTCTGCGATGAGGAGCTGGTTGATACCTATAACGTACTCACGGTAGTTACCGTTTACGGCGTGGAGTTCTCCGGTCGATACCTTAGAGATGTAACCTACTCGTACATCTCGATTTAAATTGCTTTTGTGAACTACAAATTTACGATACATATGTGTTTGAAGAAATAAGATCTTATTACATTAATGAAACATGAAAAGTGCTACTGAAAAAAAAACGAAATGTTTTCGACCCTCGATTTTGATATTTCTAAACATTAAGTATCCAAGTACAGAAAAAAGTGTGTGGGCGGAATGCATAGTGATTCATTTTGTCAAATTAAAGAATTCAGAAGTGCTACATAGCTCCTAACTAAACTACATGTAAACTTTCCGAAAAAATGTTACGGGCTAAATATAGGTAGGTACTAGAGTTTGTCAAGTCAAACTCAAATAAAATGAAACTCAATGCCTTGAACCGTTACAAAACAAACCATAACCACCGTGGGATACACGTTACTAAATACCCAACTTCTCTACTGTTTGATATATGTCGTTCCTAAACACTTATTCTCGAAGACCTCTCTACTTTGCTGCGTGTAAGAATGGTAAATTTGTACCTACAGGTATTGTTTATCGATAGTCGGGGCTGCTCTCATCCAGCAGACACGTAGCCCGAGGAGTGTGGGAGGAACGGCGGGTGTGGGGCGTGATTAATGACCCAATAATCCCGGTGCCCGCCGCCTGCCCTATGAAAGCTTCACGAAGCCGAATTGGTGAACGGTCAAAAGGTTTATTGACTGAACAGGCATAACCAAGACGTGCTTATATTACTAACGAGTACGTTAAATAAGTCGTCAGCTTACTAACGATATTCATGTCCCCTTTGACAGGGTTATTTGGAATAAATACAAAAATAGGTTGCAAACAATTTTGCCAAGAATATTATAATTTACTCATAAATGTGTTATTTTCATTTTACATTTAAATGTTCACGTATAATGTAGTACATACTTTTACGTACGTTGCACATTGCAAAGCATTTATTTTGGATAATCTATCTACGTATAGGTTGAATATGCATGGTACGAAATCGAATGCTTATTTATAGAATAAGTATAGTGGTTTACAAAACAAAATTGTTACTACGCAACCCAGAAAAGTAGATCAGAAACATAAATCCTTTTATTTTTAAAGTTGAACCGACTTCAAACAGTAATAACAATTTTGAAAATTGATCCACAATAGACGGATCTTTTTAGTTCGGGACTACCACTGCAAAGCACGGAATTTTTGTTCCTAAAGTACAAGTATAGGCAAAGATAACATCCATTTCTTTCCGAATAGGTCGTAGTGCTCAAATTCAAACTAAGTGCTTAAAAAGTAACTCTTATACAAGCTAATGCACTGAGATCTGCAAATACCGAGTAGAACTCTAGAAATTTTATGAAATTGGTAATATGGCATGTAATATGAACTGAGATATCTATAATGTGATCATTTGTGGCTGTTAACACGCAAGTCGGAATAAAACAAACTCTTGATATTGAAAATATCGTTAGTCATTTCGGGTTATGGGATCCGAACGAGCAAGGTGGTTATCTCACCAAGTTCGCTTTTGGATCATCATCATCACCTCAGCCTATGCTTGTCCACGGCTAGACATAGGCCTGTCCCAATGATTTCCAGCGGGGACGGTTGATTGCGGCCTGCATCCAACGGTTTCCGGCAACCTTTTTTTTCCGCTTTTGGATATTTTGCTATAAATTTATAACAAAAATCGATA